TCTTAGATACTGCTGGAACTCTGCTTAGAACTGGGTTCTTTGAATTGAATTTGATAGAGAAATATACTCTTTGGTGACCACACACAGCAGTGCTGCTGGAGTTTTTAAACACTGTGCTTTTACTGTCCACTCTATTAGACTTATCTTATTGGTGCACTGTGTTGATGTAAAGTCAGAGAATGTAGCTCATCTGTTTCTGTGCTGTTTGCGTTGGTCATGCTCTTGTCCTTCATCTGTGGTCACAGGATGCTGTTGGCTGAATATTTTTGGTCGGTGGACTATTCTCAGTCCAGCAGCACTGCTGTCTCTGATCCACTCAGACCAGCGCAACACACACTAACACATAACCACCCCATCAGTGTCACTGCAGTGCTGAGAATGATCCACCACCCAAATATTACCTGCTCTGTGGTGGTCCTGACAAACAGGGTGAAAGGGGGCTAGCAAAGTATGCAAAAAAACAGATGGATGGATGGATAGATAGATTTAGCAGCCAGTAGCAGTCACACAACACAGGACAGTAATAGTAATAAGGGTGTAAACAATATAACAGGAAGAATAAATATAAAAAATCCTATCTACAGGCAAATATACAAATAGAAAAATATGACAATCTGGAATAATATCTATAACCTGAGATGAAAGTGAAAGTGGCAGTGCAATGATGACCAGGAGGCACTAGTAACGGCATATAATGACAATACTGAATAAATATGTGCAGATATGTTCAGGTAACGGCATATAATGACAATACTGACTACACACCTAAAAAGATGGTTCTCCAATGGTTGTTTAGTAAAGAAAATGGCTCTATATAGAACTATGAACTCCTAAAGGACCATTTGCATGATTAAAGGGTGAAAAATGTGCTGTAAATGTTTTTCAAAAAGGGTTCTTCTATTATTATGATGTCAAGCTTGTAACAATAGAAGAACCTTTTAAGGTGCTACATAGAAACTTTTTTAAAAAGCTTCTACATAAAATCATCTACAGCACAGTTTCTATCAACCATGAAGAACCATGTTTCTTTTAAGTGATACAGTCTGTTATTGTGGGTCTACAAAGTGCATCTATATGGTAAGTGGAGCTGATATTATGGAGAAATAGTGTAGAAACAAGGAGGTCTGCTTACTGAAGTGGTCCATCCGTGTATGAGTTCTTGCTTCAAAGATATGCACAACCTCATCAGCCCAGAAAAAAAAGAAACAGCTGCTCAATCATTCAACGAAATGCAGTATTTTTAATTAGGTATCTCTTCACCCTTCTGGCACCACTAACTAGGATAGAAGGTGTTAGAAGGTGGGAGTAATTTAAGTCAGCTTGTAAACTGAGCCCTTTGGATCTTAGAGACCAAAAGAAAAACTTGGCATGTAGCCTTTAACCTCATTCTCAGGCACCTGGCATCACGCACACTCACTACGTATTGTATTCAGTTATCCAGCTAAACACTTGTTCAAGTAATACCACAGGAAGCACTGACGTTGTTAAGTCTATCTCAATCAGAGTGTAGAAAGACTTTATATATAACAGGTGTTGCAAAAAAAAAAAAATGAGACGGAGATGGATTGTAACAGAGCTTACAGGTTTAGAAAGAATTGCACACTGCAGAATCCAAAAACACCACAAGGGGTGCCAAAACACATATATACCTAATCTGACCTAATTTAAGCCTAATCAAATCCATACTTGTACTTGGTCTGATACCTAAGAATTTACTACTACTGGATGCTACTGGAAATGACTGGCCCTCTGATAACGAACACACTCTTCTGTCAGCTGTGGCTATACATCCAAAATGTAGGCCTTAGCAATAGTGAAAGTCTGAATGTGCAAATGTGTGGTGTCCCACAGGGTTGTATTCTTGGACAAATGCTATTTTTATTATACTGTGCATTCTGTAAGCATTTGGACAGTGACGCAGTTTGTGTGGGTTTTGGCCCTGTACTCCCACAAATAAGAGCAAAATGACATATGTTTTCATATATGTGTTGGATGAACCATTTTAAAATACTTCATCCATGTAGAAAACAATCAAAATATAAGATAAGATATTCCTTTATTAGACCCACAATGGGGAATTTCTCACTATGTTTTATACAAAGTCCCTATATTTTGGGGATAATAAGGACTGGACAATTATTTAGAGACTGCATTGTATATGACACCACTTGGTGAAAGTAACACTGCTAAAACAGTCTTCTTCCTTTAATGAAATGTCACTGTAACATACCCTCCTCAGATGATGCAGAGCAAGTAGTACTGGTACTAGTACAGTCTTCTTCCATTTATGAAACATCACTAAATTATGTTCTCTCCTTACATAAAAAAAATGACAAAACCAGAACATGGAACTTCTTGGTTGAACTATTGTAATGCCTATTTAAACTCTATTTAGCGCAGATGCAGCAGCTGGAAAAAAGTAAGTTTGACTATGTTAGGTATATTTCATTGACATCACATCAGCAGCCAGATAAATTCCAAATTACCGGCAGTGATCTCTAAAGATCTTGCTCCTTGCGCTTGCATAATTTTCCTGTTTCCTGTTTCAATCTTAAAGTGTCATTTTCATGGATTTAATTTAAAAAAAAAAAATTTACTATCAAAGCTCACTAGCTATGGATTTACATTCCTGTTATAATTCAGGTCTCAGAATAATCTCAATTATTAAGCCTTGGTTGAAAACCTACCTGTTAGTATGGCAGTTAGTTAATATATTTTCTTCAGATAAGGATTTGGAGGCTCCATAAAGAGTTCAATCTAGATGTTGTCAGTGTTATCTTCCTGGCATGCTCACATGCTCAGTCAGGCTTTTTAATTTATGTTAGGCTTGTCTAGGTCACCATACAGACCTTGTGTTGAGGACATACTTTGGTGAAAACACAATTTACCCCTAAATATTGCCCAAATCAAAGAGGGTTGGTGCCTAAGGTTTGCTTCTTTAAATTTTTGGAGCTATGAAAGCAAGGTGCGTAATGGAAGATTTTGTCCATTAGTACTGTGCATACTGCATGCTAAAATCATCACCCACATGCCTCAAACCACATTGCATGTCACAATGTCAGAAACCACATAACCAAGGCTTTATGAGACTATTGAACAACTCCGTATGGTGCTAATTTGCTAGGGCATATGCTCCTATTACTTGTTGTTTACATTAGCCTCACAGCTCCAGTGTAAAGGTAATGATGCAAATTTCTGACACCTAACATGTCTTGGCTGATTGGCTACATTCAGGGTAAGGGAAAAACATGTACATTGTTTCTCAATATGTATCTGGTCACATATAAGTGCTGCATTGGATCATAAATACACAGAGCACTGTATTTGAGATCACTATGTTAACACTGGGTAGGGCCCCCCTATGCACTCTAAAACAGCCTCTTCATGGCATGGATTCCATAAAATGTTGAGAACATTCTTGTGATTTTGGACCATGTTGACATTCTAAGTTACTTTCATGCTGTGAATCTTCCACTCTACCACATCCCAAAAGTGTTGTATTTGATTCAAATCTGGTAAGTGTGAAGGCCACTGAGGAGCACTGAACTTATTGTCCTGTTAACGAAGCCACTTAGAGACGACTTTTGCTTTGTGACATGGTGCAAAATCATTGTGGAAGTAAGAATGATGGCCATGAAGGGATGCACATGGTCAGAAACAATACTCAAATAGGCTTTGGTGCCAAATTCTGACCTTACCACCTGTGTGCCTCAGCAGAGAAATTGTTGCAGAGATCCATCAAACCAAGTTTTTTTTTTTCAACTCTTCAGTTGTCCAGTTTAAGTGAGCCACTGCAGCCTCAGCTTTCTGTTTTTGGCTGACAGAAGTGGAACCCAGTGTGGTCTTTTGCTGTTGTAGCCCATCCACGTCAAGGTACTATGTGTTGCACATTCTGAGATGCTTTTCTGCTCACCACAATTGTACAGAGTGGGTATCTGAGTTACTGTAGCTTTTCTGTCAGCTTGAACCAGTCTGGCTATTCTCTGTTGAGCTCTCTCATCAACATGGCCCGCAGAAGTTAAATAACTGCATGAATGAGATGGTGTACAAGTGTTTCTGATAAAGTGCTTGTTGAGTGTACATAGGTCATCTATGAGGCAGTGTTTCTTAATCCTGCTCAGGGACCCACAGTACTGCCCACAGTTCAAGTCTTCACCTCTGCATCACAACTGATCCAGCTCATCAACTGAGAAAGGAGCTCTTCATGAGCTGGATCACGTGGGATGGAACAGGAAACAGTGGCACTGTGCAGTGGTGTGGGTCACCAGAGTACGGTTGAGAAACAGGGTTACTATAACTATTACTAAAACAAAAACTAGAAGTGGAAAAATGTGCTCGTTAACTGTAATAACACACACACAAAAAAAACCCAAAACACAAAAACTAACTCAAAGCTGTAATACCCACTGCAAAACGAACTAAAGCAAAATAAAATTACTGAGGAAAAAAAAAAAAAACTTTAGTTTTATTTGATTTCAAGGCATGAATGACAGTTTATAAGTGGATCTTTTCTGTGTTTGGTCTTTAAGGAGAGCTGGAGCCGAGCTGAGCTCAGCCCTACTGTGTTCATTTTATAGTTATCAACTTTTCAGAAAATAAAAAAGATGAAAACTTTTTTTTCCTTAAGACTAACTAAACTTAAAAAAAAAATAAATAAATAAATAAATAAACAAAGAAACATTAGCTAATTATCAAGCTGTTCATGAGGAACAGGGGTGTTGGGAGGCAGAAAATACCTGGAACTGCCAGGACTAGAGTTCTATAGTTGGAAACCACTGCTATGAAGTATGTAGTTGGGAAAAAAGGAAGAAAAAGAAAAAAATTACACACACACACACACACACACACACACACACACACACACACACACACACACACACACACACACACACGAAGTACCTTTATTTTGAAATTCGATGAGCAACCGGAACTCTCGAGTATCCGGATATTTCTCGGTGTTGTGTTGGCATCCTGCATCGAGGTTTACATTACAATCTGAAGTTGGATGGTTTTAAATGGACAACTTTTATATGAAACCAGGTAAAATAATTAAATCAGTATTCCAGATGACGTGGCATATGTCGGGTAAATAATAGTTTGTAACTAGGATTCCTACAGGTTAAGTTGATTGAATATTTATGGTCAGTCCACGTAGGTCACAGCAGTCTTAGTGTCGGCTTATCAGCTTTCTACAGCCAGTTCACCACTGTGTACGGAGCAGTAAGAGCCGGACACTTCATCTCCACACTGTCTGTACCACAGTGTCAGTTAGACGCTGATCAACTAGGTGTTTAGCTCTGGTATCCAAAATCTGAAGGGGAATTCTACTGATTTTACATTGTTCTTAGTTAATTAGTTAAGATGTACACAAAGTCACCCAGAGTGATCTGATGTGAAACGGTTCATTATAGAGAAACATAAAGACTTTCTTTTCTCTCTCTTTCATTTCTTTAGAGTGGTGCTGAAAGGAGCCAAGGGTCACAATGTCTACAACACAAATATAGATATTTTATTTAATATCTAAAACGACCAGTTAATCAACATTTGTCTTCTGAGTTTCCATATGTAATGTTTTTAAAGGTAAAACGGTGGCAAATAAATATATATATATATATATATATATATAAAATGTATGTATGTATGTATATATATATGTATATTTTGCTTTAAAACGTCCTGTATGTACTTCCCTGGCCTGAATGGATTTTATGCCAAAACCTTCTCAAACTATTGTAAAAAAGTGTCTCACATATCAGGCAGTGTATTCTTTTCATCCCATGTGAAAACATTTTTTTGAGGGAGCTTTTAGAGGCATTAAACTCTTCAGACGCCTGGTTCCAGTCACCACCATTGTAAACACTGTGAGTCTGTAGTTTCTAGAATTGAGTATTTCACCTCAAATCACTTTGAATGACTTTGTTTACATCTTAACCACTAAATTATGCTAAAATTCTGGAAAATATTTGGACTTCCCTTTTAGTACACTTGTTGATATGACCACTATTGAAGAATAGAAGGCTTCACTTCAGTTTCAAAAGTACTGATTGTTGTAAATAGTGGTCATGTCTCTTAAACACAGTTCAGCTTCTGCATAACAGCAGTACTAAACCATGGCAGTACTCTTTGTGCCTTGAAGGGCTTTAACTACATAGCAGTAACCTAAACATTGTGGTTAATTAGCACACAAAGTGGTTAATAGGAGCTGTAACGTCAGTGATCTGCGATGCTTTATGTTTTATCTTGTGTAGGTAATCAGGAGCGGGGATGGAACGATCCTCCACAGTTTTCTTATGGTCTGCAGACAAGTGCTGGGGGGAACGAAAAGAAATATTCTAAACAAGCGGGTGCCCCCACCTCAACTCACAGGCCAAGGCAAGTCAGTAGACTAAGTGATTAGGTTAGTGTAGGAGGCTGTACATGCCCTGAGGTTTAAATCTGCATCCTATATTTAAAGAACGGTTCATCAAAAAAAAAGAGTTTTCCCCTCACCCCAAACGTTGCTCACCCAAGACATGTTTGGTATCTTAAGTTTTGCGCTGACAATCTAACACAACAAAAAGTAGTGGATGTTTTTCAGACTACTATATTAACCTCCACTGCAAAACTAAAGAAGGCCTTAAAACGTAGGTCTTAACAATAGTGAAAGTCTGAACAAATGTGCGGTGTCCCACAAGGTTATGTTCTAGGACACATGCTGTTTTTCTTTTACAGTGGCACAGTTTGTGTTGTTTTGGCTCTGTACTCCAGCACAAAACAGCAAAATGACAAATGTATTTATATCTGTGTTGGACAAAGCATTTAGGAATCACCTCTTTTATATGTAAGCCCTACATTTTAGGATACCATAAGTAACTTAACAGTGGTACAACTACATAAAAGTTGCAAAAGTTTGGGCACCCTGGTCCAATTACATGTTTTCTTTTTCTAAGTAAAATAATAGTACCCATCCTCTACAGAGACACATTTCAATGCACAATTTCTGTTTATTTGCTGAATTTAACACATTGGGCAAAAATAAAACTACTGTGTGGCCTGTGCAAAAGTTAGGGTACAGTTGATATTTGATTTTATTTTTTTTTTTCCAATATTTTCTAATATTGTGCACTACATTAAGCTGAAAAGTGCCATATTAATGTTTGAGACCGCATATAAAGAAGCCAGAGCGGCAAACTTTAGACACTGTTTAGGTAAGGGGGAAATCTTCTTTAATAAAATGTTTTTCCTTATAGATTTCATGCTCTATCTAAAAATGTATTCTTTTGGAGCTACTGTTGCAAAGAGCTGGATGCAGTTTACAGAATGTTGGCAAAAATTCCATTCAACAAAATGAGAAATTGTTGCAGAGACATTTCAGTGTGATATTCATTTCAGTTTTGTTTAATTTGCTTTGTGTGTGAGGAGTAACACTGTTAAGACAGACTGGATGTAAAGTTGTATGCAAAAGTTTGGGTGTCCCTGGACAAATGACATGTTTTTTTGATTTTCTATGTGAAAATAAGTTAACACATCCTCTACAGAGAACACACTTTTGCACATTTTAGTGCACAATTACTGTTATTTGTTGAATTTAACATATTAGAAAAAATAAAACACAGAATATGGCCCATGCTTAAAATTTAATATCTGGCAGTATAATTTTTCATAGTCAAAAATTAAACAGACTCCAGTAGTTTTATATACACAATGCTTTACTGGCTGTCTGTGCCTGTTGACAATTAATTGCAGTAACAGCACCAGTGATAATGATGACTCATTTACCACTGGTTTACAAACCTGTTGTTCATTTATTGCTTTATTTTGTGCAAACAAGACATTTGAGCATAACTTTTAAACATGTTGGGTGATGTGACTGCAGGTCACGTAGCAACGAGGTTTCGCCTGGCTAGTTAGCGAATGAAAAAGGAAAAGAGAAAGACAGACGAACATTTGGAGATGAACGGACTTATTCGCATTTATAAACAGCGCAGTTGGTTTCCTGGTACGTTAAATCTGCAAGGAGAGACTGTCAAACACTAACTAAAAAGTTGCGAAGATGAAGTCGCTTCTCTTTCCAATTTTCCCGTTCCACCTTAAATGGTGCCACTTTTACATTCGGCGCCTCAGTCAGAATTTAAGGTGGAACAGGAAAGTTCATCAAGAAACTGGTGAATGAGAAGCGACTTCAGCCTCGTAAAACAGCCGAAAGCTGACATTTTACAGGAAACTATTCAACTTTTGAGGAAAGGTTTTCTGGCGGAGTTGAAAGAAAAGCGGCTGTAGCTGAGCTAAAGCTTAAAGCAGAGCAAAGTAAGTCTGTGTTTTCATTTATATTGTTTAGCCTAAACTAGGACATCACATACTGACACATACTGGACCTAACCTGGCTTTAATGCAGAGGGAGCCGGTCGGATTTCTCGATCATCCAGTTGTGTTTTTGTTATGTGCCACCACAGACTGTCCGGGCGCTGCACTTACCCACTTCCAAGTTCTGCCCTTTGCGTTCCGTCAACATTACTTTATAAATTAAATATTTAGAAAATCGATTTTTGACATTTGTGAATCGATTCAGAATCGTCCACGTCCGCATCGCGATGCATCTAAGAATCGATTTTTTCCCGCACCCCTAACCTCATGTTACCTGTGCTTTATCAGTGGGATTTCTGCTGACGCTGTTAAATCTGTGAAACCATAATATTAGCCAGTTTTATCAGCTGATCAGTCCCAATATATTGACTGTCAGGTGCCACGGAGGCTTAGTGGCAATCTGTAACTTAGAAATCATGTTTGCTGTTTAGCATTATCAATGTTTAAGAAAGGTAATTCCACAGTGTTCTATTGTGTTTCCAGGTCCTGGGCCAGGATTGCCTCTTTCTCCAGCCGCTAGTTCGGTCCCTCCAAGTAATCCAGGACCTCCTCCTGTGGGTGGATTGACTCCACCCCCTCCTAAGAGTAGAATCTCTTTAGGTGGACTCTCAACAGGCTCACTCTCAGGTTCTTCGAAGACTCAGACTAATTCATCAGTGCCAGCAGAGAATGAACCAGAACTCGATGAGGTTCACGCACCTCTTCTCTGGGCACTAGCTGCATGTAGGCAATCTGTGAAGGTATTAAAACTTCATATAATGAATACATATATTGTCTTATATAATGACTAAATTATCCTAGTTTTCTTTGTAAATTCAAGTTTTATGTAAACATTACAGTTTCTAAATGTACGGTTCACTTCCCAGTACATATTTAGAAACTAAACTGCAAAATGTGCAGACATCACAACCATAAACATGTTTACATATGATTGCCCATTAATGAGTGGCAAGTGATAAGGAATGTTGTTACTGCAGACAGTTTGTAGCAGAGTTATTGCAGAGGAGAATGTGGGAAAACGGTTAAACATCTTTACTTTGTTCGAAGACAAAGTAGCCTTCCAAAGCATCCACACATCCATAATGAGTATTTCAGTGTGAATGAGAAAAAAAAATGCAACAAAAGTGTAGAATATAGCCCATTTTTCAGTGTCTGAAATAGAAATGTCATAGAATTTAGGAGCATCACATCCTTTGTGCATTTTCTTTCCACAGAAACAGGTTTGTGCTGATGTTGAAAGACGGCTAAAGCTTTTTGAGGAGATGTGGAAGAGTGGGAAACTTTCTCTCCCAGTTAAATGTAGGATGAAAGGACTTTCCCAGGGTGAGTCATCCTGTCCTGTCTTGTCTTGTTGTTTCATTACACTTTATTGCACAAAAATTTTTATATGGCTCGGAATGTTCTGATTTCTTTAGGTGTGCATATATACACATAAAAAATGTTATATATATATATATATATATAAAATGTGTATGTATTGTTTTTGCGCAATAGTGGTGCTCCTCTGAAATACAAGAAAACTGTCTGATGTCTGACATTTTGTGTTTCTTTAGAGCTGAAGAACAAGAAGTGGGATGCAGCCGATGAGATCCATAGAGCCCTGATGGTGGATTATGTAAATGAAGTTAGTCAGTGGATGGTGGGGGTTAAGCGACTCATCGCAGAAACCCGAAACCTGAGCCCAGAGCTGCTCCAGACAGAAGACACCCTGCCCCAGGTGGAAAAGGACCTGGCGCAGACAGAAGACAAACTGCCCCAAGCAGAAGAGATCCTGCCCCAGACGGAAGAGATCCAGCCCCAGACAGAAGACGACCTGCCCCAGACAGAAGACAAACTGCCCCAGACGGAAGAGGTCCAGCCCCATATGGAAAAGGTCCAGCCTCAGACGGAAGAAACCGCTCAAAGCGACAGCTCTGCTGACCCAGTGCAATGTGAATGAGTTTTAGACTTCTCAATCTGAGCCTTACTCAATAATGGACATTACTTTATGAAACCTCTTTTCAAAGCTGCTGTGGGACCAATCGCATTAGAGATTCTGTGATCACATGAGGGAGATTTAGTGTTAATACTGCAATACTTCAGTACTGTTTATGCTGTACGAATACTGTATAATACTATAACTGGTTAATTTTGCTCCTTTACTTCACTCATTCATCTTCATAGCCCTCCTCTATCACTGATTATGTGGACAGTGGAGGGTACTATGAAGCTAGGCCCCAGAAGTGGACGTACCATGGATTTATGTCAGTTAGGTGGGTTTAAAGGCATACTCTATCGCTTTTTTAACTTCAGTCTCTGTGTGCTGCATTTGTAGCATACAGTCAGTTACCAAAGACAATAATTTCCCTGCACTTTGTAAATGAATAGAAAACCTGTTGGCTTAAAGGGAAATTCCACAGATTTTTCAAAACCTCTGCATAATTAAATCATTAAGAATTTAACAGAGGCATTTAGAGTGGTATGATGTGGAATGCATCGTTTTAGAGAAACTTAGAGTAAGAATTGTTCACAGTGGCACTGATAAGAACATGTTGAAAAGAGTAATGTCTCTAAGCTGCCTCACAGAGGGTTATTACATGAAGTGGTTGTGAATATGCTGCCTGATATCAGATGTCGTTTTACTGTATTTTTGACACAAGATTTTGTCCTAAAATGTGTTTTTGTAAATCTTTTTATGGTGGAGGGGTACATGCAGGGTGTTGTACGGCAAAATAGTCCCCAAAGAAAACTTCAGATTTACCATCATCAACATTACGTTTACAAATTCATAAGAGCTGTGTACATTCACTGTTTATTTTGGATACTAAATGAAATGGCTGTATCTGTGTTGTAGAGATTGTGACCCCTGGTTCCTATCATCATCACCACAGTAAAGAAGTCAGGGGTGAACGTGCCATTTCACATCAAACATTCCAAATGACTTAGTTTACATCTTAACAACTGAAATATGCACATTTTCTAAAAATCTGTGGAATTCCCAGTGAAGCATTCTTATCAATCGGTTGATGGGCAGCTGCCTCTTGCTCTGTATTATAAGTATCAACAGTTTTTCTGTTCTTTTACTAAATGCATAAAAATATTGTTTGTGGTAACTGATCTTATGCTACAGATGGAACCCATAGAGATTAGATTGAAAATGCTGGCGTCTTGGTTTACTTATTAAAAGATTTTATTTTCCACCAGTGAAATCACTCTAAGCTATAAACAATACACAATAAGAGACAGTTTTAGTTCAGGTTTTTTCTATGCAATTGTTCTTTCAGATAATTCCGTTTGCATGGAGTATTCCTTGGCATGCTTTTTTAATGCCATTTGGTTAAGCAGCAATAAACACCCATAGCAACTGTACCACCCTGTGTAATGGGGTTGCAAAGGCTATTGTAACTGCATGTTTATAGACTGATTTCCAGTTTACATATACGTGATTAAACATCTGGGTATATGGCTACGATTCCTTTCTTTAGTAAGATCCTAAACATATGTAAATCTCAGAGAGAAAAGGGGTGCATACTGTATGTACTTGAGTATATCCTCGACTCTGCTGCTACCAAACTACACAAGTGTGCTTTGTTAATAATTGTAGATGCCCCATCGCAACACATTTTTTTATCATGTAAATAAAATGATTTAAATAGACTCCTTCTTCCTCATTAAAGCAGATTTGTTAACTCTGCCATGGTTAAAGCAGGTACTAAACAACGCTTATGTAAGTACACAAAATGTTTCTTTAGCAAATTTCTTCTGAATTGACCACTGGCTGAATCTTAGGGGTCCAAGCATCTGAAGGTGCTGGTAGCAAAATCTCTGCAAGAGTCTGAACCTTAATAGTTATCAAAATATGTTGACATTTGTAAACAACATTGCAGCCACATTCCAATCAATCCCTCTGGATCAGAGCATTGTTGACTCAACACCTATAACTCATTAATAGGTTTGCATCTCAAAACATTCAGACGCTTTCAGGGGGTGCTACTCAATTTTAACAATGCAATTACAAGTGTTTTCATAAAATGCATTGTATTGCTTCTACTGTAAATTGTTTGAAAACAGCTCATTTGAGCTAATCTTAGCATTTTGATCCAGGCATTTCAATACTGGGCTTGAAAATAATGTGTGGCATCTGGAGGTAAATAAAACCCACCACAGTCCCCACATATTAATTATTGCGCTCTTGACGATTATGAATTAAATTACTAAAATGTAATTTTTTTAGTCTCATCATCTCAAAATTTAAATCAGCTATATGAACTGTGATTCAGATGACGCATGCACACTTTAACTCACAAGGGCCTTTAGGGGGCGCCACAGCGCCCAAAACACTCAAAATAACTTAAAAATGTATTTTTTCTTTCTTATGCATAAATAACAGGTCTTATGTGATTCAGTTTCTTTTAGCAGGACAGTTTTGCAATTAGTTATGTCAAAAACTGAAATGCTTGTCCGACATGTTGACTTATTTGTTCAGAATCTGCAGTTTAGTATACAATTGTCAAAAAGTAACCTGCACAAAACTTGAAAATGTTTTCATTTAAGGCCCCTTAGCAATAAAATCTGACCCATATCATTTATCATCTGTCTGCAAAAAGGCCCCAGTCCGGCGTGTTAGACCTCGTAGGGTTGATTCGTGTTTGGATCCTGCGTATTGCCGCTTGTGGCTATATTTTTTATTTAAAACTGACACTGTGTTGACTTGAACACATGAAACACATTAGCACATTTCAAGCACTTTCCATTAGCTCACAATATTTATAGCATTATTAGCACTTTAATAAGCCAAACTGGGTTTTCAAAGATGCAGATGAAAAAAATCAGTTGACATTTAATATAAACATACTATTTAAATAACATACATCGAAAGTAAGAGTCAACTGGCTATTTAGCACAATAAGTCATAATTATGTCATAATAATTACATTTTGCTAAAGGTTTAGCAGCATTCAAATGCAGTGCATGTACCTGACTCACATTATTTCCATCATAGAATTTCAACACAGATCAGAAAAAATAATAATAAATTGTCTGACTGCCAGTCACGTCTGGAGCAAGAATGTGCCAATCCCAGTTGTGCATGCCTTACTGAGTAAAAATAACTGTTGAGGTTTTTTTAGCATATAAAATGTGCACCTATTTTGTTTGATGGACTTGGATTCATTTCCATTCATTTACCATTGTCCACCTTAGTAAACAAGCAAGGTTAAACCACTGCTTTAATTACAAATTACGCACAAAAATATACTCTTGTTAATTATCTCAACTAAATGCAGTGTTCAAAACCCAATCAGATTTTGAATAAATTATTAATGAAACAGCTCATAAAATAATTAATCATTTCTACATCATTAAATGGTTAAAATGTAAACAAAGTCATTTTGAGTGCTTTGATGTGAAATGCTTCATTCTAGACAAACTTCAGTCAGAATTGTTCACAGTGTTGGTGATAGAACAAGACTTCTGGAGCTTTTAATGTGCCTGAAAGGTGCCTCACAAAGTTATTACACTAAATGATTACGGATACGATATCTTACGCCTAAGACAGGGTTTTGATAGTGTTGTAAGAAGGTTTTGGCTTAAACTGTATTTTTAAAATACACGTAGGCTGTTATAAGGCAAAACAGTCGAAGAAGAAAATGTATTTTTTCAGATGTATGTTTTCCCATCATCAACATAAATATAAAAACTTGAGTAGGTTCACTGGTCATTTTGGATAGTAAATTAAATTGTTTACATTTTAACATTTTAATTAGGTAGAAATTTTGAAAATTGGGTGGAGTTCCCCTTTAAGGGGACCTTTAGATAGATTTTCGGAACTGCATGTTAACTCGATTTCAAACACTGTAGCTCAGGGCTGCCCAGAGTGTGGACTGCAGGCTGAAGTTAGCCTGTGAAGACGTTTGATTTGGCCTGTCAGAAAGTTGACCCTACCCAACCCCCTTAACTAGCAGGGGCTGTTTTTGCACAAGGCAGAGGTAGGCAGGCAGCAGCCTAGGGCCCCCATGTGCACACAGATTAGACATACTGTATGTGTGGATGTTAAATAACCTGTTCTGAAATGTATATGTATTTTAAAAATAGCTGTTATTTGTGATTGTAGCTGTTATTATTCATTTCAATGCACCACCATCCTCCGGTCAGGGTTTTAATGAATTATTCCATGTTGTTACATCATGGCACAAGATAGAATGATATGAACAAGGCAACTGAGTGATAATCTAAATGATGTAGAGGAGGTACTTTGGTGTGATTTGCTTGTTGTTGAGAGGTAAATTCAAATAAAGTCATCAGAGAAATGCTAAAAGAGGAAGGAAAGCAAAAAGTTTCTTACTTCACTCCCAAAAATTAGGCCCAATTCCATTCCTTATTTTATCCCTACCACTTGTTTTCGAGTGTCAACTTGCCCCTTGGAACTGAGTTAAAAGGGGTAGTGGTTGAAATCTTCCCCCACGAAATGCAACAATCCTCAAATAAAAAAAGAACATTATCTCACTAACAGGCTACTATAAGTGCTCTGTATGCGACCCTGCCTGTCTGCAGTGATTGCAGAGGAGGTAAAGCTCAGCAACCTTGCTGCTGGGCTTTAGTTACATTTAGGGAATCATGTGCTTTTAAAGAGGGGGATGCGATAATTATTTAATTATTCTTTGGTGATATGAAGCTCAAGTCATGTATTCGCCAGCTTCTCGTTCAAATTTCCCGTTCCACCTTAAATGGAGCAGTAGTTACATTCTGACGCTTCAGGCATCAGTGACTATTTAAGGTGGAATGGGAAATTTAGCTATCTAGGTACAGAGACATCAGCATAATATTAGGGTTTTTTATGCTTGTTATGAAACAAAGGACCATAATACATTGAAACGACATTACACTAAGACAATACAATGGTTATTGCATTTTTTTAACATAGAAAATACTCACATCTGTGGGTTTCTTTGGTTGCTTGTGCAGCCATCTTGCTGTGTTTTCTTTTCTTCTCATAACACTCCCTGTGCCTCTGGAAAACCTCAGTTTGGAGGGCCGTGTAGCGCTAACACTTCACCCTACCCCTCTATCTCAACAAAAATTGGGACACCCTACCCCTCCACTCAAAAGCCCAGAGCCTCACTTAATTTAAAACATGCATCCAGGGGGCCCTATTCCACTTTTGCCTAGAGTCCCTCAGTCACTAAATGCTAGCTGGGTAAATAAAGGTCCTGTCAGAATTTCTCACTGCCCATCTGCTCAAATCTGTCCTCATCTTCCTTAAGTAGCTTTTTCATTCTCGTCTTTTTGGCGCTACCTTGATTTTCTGCAGTTCTTGTTGCTGCTGTCCATCTTCAGGATTCATGTACGAACACTGCTACATTAGTAATGCAGACACACTACTGAACTCTGTAGCACAGCCTGTTGTGTCAGCCAGAACCAGATTCACACCGTCATGCTGACCATCTCTTAAGGCTGAATTTAGCTTCTTACTTGCACTTCCGTTCCACCTTAAATCATGCAGCAGTTACATGCTAGCATCCGTACAGGAGTCTGAATGTACCTGCTACATCATTTAAGGTGGAACAGGAAATAAGATTAAGAAGCTAACTTTTTCTGATCTCCATCACTGTATGAGGCTTAGTTGCAAGCAGCTAACCTGGGCTGTACCACTTGAGGTGGGGGAACCTGGTTTAACCCCTAAATTACTACAGATAGACACTTGGACGTAAATGGTAAGCATTGTTGTTTATACATTAGCTCACAGTAACTGACTCCCCCCATTTCCCTATATATATATATATATATATATATATATATATATATATATATATATATATATGCACTGCTGTGTCTGATCCACTCAGACCAGCACAACACACACTAACACACCACCACCACGTCAGTGTTACTACAGTGCTGAGAAGGGATCTAACAAAGTATGCAGAGAAACAGATGGACAACAGTCTGTAATTGTAGAACTACAAAGTGCACCTATATAGTAAGTGGAGCTGATAAAATGGACAATGAGCATAGAAACAAGGAGGTGGTCATAATGTTATGCCTGTTCAGTGTGTATATACATATATACACTTGACTTGAGGAGGAGGACTGAATGAGCTGCATCTTACTGAAAGGAGGAATTGCAGATTGCAATCTGTTTCCACTGGGAATTTCCTCTGTACATTCTGTTCATGGTTTAAAAAAAAAAATACAGAACTCATGAGCTTTATGTGGGTGTGTTGAGGTAGATAAAGAATTTCTTACCCTCATCACAGTCTCAACTTCTGAACAGCTTCAAATGAAGCAGCACACAACCTATGTATGCGTCAAACTTAGCTATAGATATACTCACTGACTACTTTATTGGAGACACCTTCTATAGCCCATCTGTTGCTATGCATGGTGTTTTAGCCATTACTAACGGTAAGTTTCTGATCTCAGAGCTGCTCTTGGTTGGGTGGTTTCCTTTCAGGTGGTGAACCATTCCATAGTACACCTGTAATGGACTTATCAAGTAGGTGGACCTACAGCCAGTGAGTGTACGGCCCGTGTTTCTAATGACGTGGACGGTGAGTTTGGTCTGTGAAATACTTTTTGGCCACTAGAGGGAGTTGTTTTCTGTGTGGAAAAGAAACCTGTTCAGTTCATTCAGTTCATTTAAATTTACAGCTTGATGAGACCTTACAATCTCATGGCTGTCCTGATGTGCCCTTAAAGAGGAAGTCCACCCTTTTTTCAAATTTTCTTCTGAATTTAATGGTTCAGCTGTAAAGTAAATAAAAAGGTGTTTTTATGTGAAATGGCTATTTGCAGAGAAACAGACTCTGATTTCTTTACAGTGGTGCTGATAGGAACCAGGGGTCACAAATGCCTACAACTCAAGAACTGCCACACATTTTGCTTTTCATGTGCCTGTGACTGAGCTTTATAACTTGCACTCTATTCTTACTGCACTTTACCCTTAATAAGCTAATTTTAATAACATTTAAGTCTTTTGTTTTAATTCACTTTTATGTTTTATCATACTTTATGTACTTTGTACTTTTTTCAATTATTAATTAATAATAATTTTTAAAGGTTATCTTTTTTTTTCTTAAACTTTAAAACTTCATTTTTTTTTTTTACTCTTGATGTTTCTTTTGCTTTTATTTATGTAAAACACATTGAAATGCCTTTGTGTATGACATGCTATATAAATACACTTGCTTTGCTCAGGTTTTTTATTTATTTATTTATTTTTTGATAATGGTACAGTGGTGGTACATCTGAAAAAAAAATTCTTTGGGTACTACTTAAACCTTAAAACACTGCATGTAACTCCTTGCCATGAACAGATTAAAAAAATGCTTTAGGCCCAAATATTCTGTCTTCGATCCGAAACTATTGTAAAACAAACCCTCAGATGTCATGCAAAATATCTGTACCGTGATATCACAGCGCTTCAGACGTCTGGTTCCTATCAGCAGTTCCTATCAGTTAACACTGTCAACAACTCTTACTTGTTAAGCTTCTCTAAAACGATGCATTCCACAACAAACTACTCTGAATGACTCTGTTTACATCTTAATGATTTAATTAATCAGAATTTGTGAGAAATCGATGGAATTCCCCTTTAGTGACATTGACTACATGGCTCCCTTTAGGCTGGACAACCTCCTTGCCATTTACTTTGAGTCATGAGATTCTAATTCAAGTAACTCCACGTGTACTGGACTTTTGAAGCTGGCAAAGTCCTTCTTTTGTGCTTCACCAAATAGCAGCTAAACATCTGCAACTAGGCTGGGCTATCTTATTGTTAATGTAAAATGAAGGTAAATTGTTAATAAGTGAACTGTACAGATGGTGCTTTCTTACATCATGTTCTTGTAGGTGATTATTTCATCATCAACAGTGGGCAAAAATGCATAGATATCTGTGGAAGCTCACTCTGGATGAGCTCCTGCTGCTACAGTTCCAGGGGTACAAAGCTACCCAAATAACATCTGGTCAAATGCGGTCCTATGGTCCGAAACAGAGCATTGAGGAATGGGCTCAGGGGACAGTTCAGGCATGAAAACAGATGGGCTCCAACTGTACAATTATATGTTGAACCTATTAGGTAGGTCATAAAGAGCTCATAAAATGAGTGGAGGTACAAGGTATTCTTTTTACAGCGTCAGGAAAGAGCAGGAAACATATTTCATAGAAAACTACACAGAAACCTTAACAACTAAATATAACTTTTTTGTGTTCACTCTGCCTTTGATTACAGCTTCCATTCTTTTCACACTGTTTTAGTAGACTTGCATTCAGTTTTTCAAACAAATCTGCATGGATATTTTTCCATTTTTCCTTAGACATTGGCTGCATTTTCTGTTTCTCCTGATCCAAATAAACCGAATTACAAATTTAGAATCATCAATCCATAAAACCTCACTCCACATCTCAGATGTCCGGTTTTGATGCTCAAGTGCAGTGCAGTTCTTTTTTTCTTAGTAATGGCTTCGCCTCTTGACAGCTACACATCCTTTCAGAAGCTTAGCGTTGAGTTCTAATAGAGTTTTGGTGGCCTACCAGGTCTTGCGTAGTTGTTACAAGTTTAAACTCAGGTTTTGAAAGCTTTTCGGCTTTCCTTTAAGTGGATGGTCTTCTATCCAATCTTCTATCCAGTACTGTAGGTGTTTGGAATAAAGAGGATTCTCAGTATACACAATATTTAGCATGCATGAGTTGTAGAATTACTATAGAATAAAATTGTTGCACTATTTACTTGTATTTTGTAGGTGTCTGTATAGCAGGGGTGTACAATCGTATCCTCAAACACTGTTAAAAAAAAAAAAAAGTTCTGTGCAGGTACATTTTTTTGTTCATCAAGGTACAAACAAAGTAAATGTATCCTCAAAGGTACAACAGTGGTTTTAAGGTCCACTTGTGTGCCTTAAATAAGTTTTTCCAGGTGAAAAGTACATGTTCGTACCTTTTAATAACCTAATGTTTTAAAACAGAACATTAAAATAAAAAAGCCTGGAGACGAGACGGGGTGTGTGTGGAGTCAATACAGCTTAAAAAATATAATTTCAGTGGATTTTGGTACAATTATGTTCCCTGACTAAAGGTACTGATGGGGGTGCCCCATCATGGTCCTGGAGATCTACGACCCTAGTGTTCAGATCCAACACAACTGGCTCTAATATTCAGATGCCCTAAAGGCCTTCATTACCTGGATGAGGTGTTTTGGTTAGGGCTGGAGCCAAACTGTGCAGGGTGGTAGATCTCCAGGACCAGGTTCGGGCACCCCTGCCTTAAGGGTACCGCCCCAGGGACAGCCTCGTTCCTTTATTTCTGAGAGTGAAGCACTGGTGTTGCTGCAGGTTTTCACTCCAAACAAGGTGGAGCACATCTGACTCTGCTTGCTTAATCAGTTGGTTTCAGTCTTTAAACTGCTGATCATATGAGCTCCTACATTGCTGGAATGAAAACCTGCAGCCACAGCAGCCCTTTATGGGTAAGATTGGACGTCCCTGTTGTAGAAACTGCGTACTTCTTCTTTAAAATAAGGCTTAATTTGAGCCAAAGTTAACTTTTTTGTGCCTAATCTGTTTAATTTTTAGACAGTCATATTTTATTATTGAAGACAGCCTCATTACTTTCAGATGCCTGGAGAGCTCATCTCTGTGATCCCCATCTTTACTTACTTTGAGGGTTTTTGAATCCAAAGTTTACAACTTGAGATTAAGAACACATTTCTTGTAAATCTTTGGCCCTTCAGTACAAGGCTTGCCTACGAGTATAACAACACCACCCTAGACCTCGTCTTTCATATTTCATGTCCCAACCAGTAGCTCTGTCTTTAAATATTATTTTCACCCTGGTGTCCTCTCATGACATCACAAAAATTGAAAATGGGCTGTTATTATTAACCATTTATGGACCGTATGGGGTGGGAAGTGAAGGGTACGCTTTGAAACGTTTAATATATATTCTACACTATATATATATTGCATATACAGTGCATTAAACTCATATTTCAAAAAGAGTAAAATACGTAATGGGCCATTTAATCGCGGTACCATGCTAGTGTAGATTCAGTCTTACAGGACGAAAAACTACAAACTGTTCTCAACAAACCTTGATGATGGACTCCTTTGTAGACACCAGGCTGCTCTCGTCTTCGCAGCTTATTACCTTTCGCCCAATTTAAACAATTCCAACCGGCTGTTTTCCTGACCCAGCAGTTTTCTCTCCTACGACTGTTTTCCTAAGTATTTCATGCTAGACTAGCCGCTACACGAATCGTGATCACGTTCTAGTGGCGTGAAGAGCTCAGCCAATCGCATTCGCCGCTCAACACGGTTATCCAATCAGAAGTGCAAAACAAGAGCGGCCAATCAAAACGCAGGCTGAAAAACATTTGGTTGGGGGCAACCACGCGTTAATCAAGCACTGTGCGCTCCGAAGAGAAAGTAGCAGGAGCAGTAGCAGCATTCAGTGCACTGGCTCGGAAGTAGGTCACTTAGATTGAGCATCGCAAACTAAAGTATCTGAAATACTTTTACTTTACAGCTTCAACACTCAGAAAGCACTGTGCACACCATGGAGAAGAAAAAGATTATTAACTTTGGTGCCGGGCCGGCCAAACTGCCACCCTCCGTAAGTCTTCCACATATTTTCATTCAAATTAGCATCTGTTGTTCATTCGAGGAGCTTTATTTTTCTACGGAGCTTAAGTCAGCTTCTTAAGTGCCAGTTTCTTGTTCGCATTTTCCCGTTCCACCTTAAATGGTGCAGCAGTACATGTAACTGCTGCACCATTTAGGGTGGAACGTGAAGATTCGAACAAGAAGCTGGCGAATAGGAAGCCAGCTTCTGCCTCGTTATTTTCTCTCTCTTTGGTACTGCTTGTTACTTCTAAGCACACTGCGTTAGATTGTGTCACCCAGACCTGCAGGAATTTTGTCGTTGTTTACTTTGACCCAGCAGCTTTGCTGGCGAGCTCTGAATTGAAAGTAGCTCGAGCGGAGCTGGAAACAAGGTCGGTTTTTCAAGTTGAGTGCGAGGTGGTACTTGTGGGTGTTGATGATGTTGCATCAGCCACTCATTCTTCTTGCTTTAGGGGCTCCTTCAGCACTGATGTACGCAAGATTTGAATACCTGCCCGTGTGCTGCCTGTGCGCTTTTGCCTGAGACTGTTTCGACGGTAACACTGATTTTCTGGAATAGAAGAAGATTCAGTGGCGCTTTAATTCGCGCATCGTTCTCGCACCTCTCTGTGACGTAATCGAAAACAAAGACAAATAAACTGAAGAGAAAGTGGAGATTTCGCCGTTGCAGATTACAGGCAGATGAGGGCGGATAACAGTAATGGTACTTTCTACCCGCTACCAAGTAATACTGAGGCAAACGTCCTGATACCACTAATTATTTGTATTTCTGCAGTGAAAACCAGCACACGTGGACACCAGAAGTATATTTAAAATTTACAGTAGTATTACTGTCATAGGACATTAAAGGGCCCATATCCTACGTTTTATCTTTAATGTTTCATTAATGACCGTGTGCTCGTCAATGTCCCAAAAACAGTCGTAATTTTTTTTACATGACCATTTCCAACCTCTCCTTATTCCTTAAAATTAAGATGTGTTGGTACTGTGTCTTTAAGACCAATATGTGTAAGTGACACCTGTTCTGAGTGGCAGCACCTCATTTAAATATATATATATACACACACACATATACACTCAATGAGCACTTTCTGTGGTGGGTGTTTAGTAAGGATCTAGTTTAGTCCAAGTGGAAGTTAGGGGTCCATCAGTGTGTTCAGTAATCTGAGCCCCTTGAGCTTAATGACAGCTCTTCTTGCCACCTGGACGTATTCAGGAGCCGCTTCTTCATTAGTAACAATTAACACAGGATTAACCGGTTTTTAAAATGTCACCAATAGAATAAACACATGGCAAAGTAAACGAGTGGAATGAAACATAAAATGAAAGAGAAAGTGCTGCAGGTACATAATCAGAGTCAGTGTCATGGCATACCACCTCTTTAATTTATGCAGATGTTTTGGTAGGGAGCCAATAAAACAACGGTCTTCGGCAGCTTGTGAGCCAGCGGTTGCGCTTGCAGGCAGAGTTTGAGGTCAAGCAGTAAGTGCACTGTTCCCCCTACTGACCAAACTCAATAGTGTTAAAATTACGTAGGGCTGGAAGAATAATATGTGCAGAAAACAAAACAACTTTTTTTTTTTTTAGGATAGTAATGTGATTATTTTCCTAAAATAACATTTAAATGCTGTATTTATGCAGTGAACGAGATGCTTCTGCGCTGTTTGTATTTTGTATTTTGTATTCAAAGATCAGATTTGTCCAACTTTGATGAATAACGGCTGTTTTAACTGTTTGTCCCCTAGATTTCATATTTTTGTTGAATACCATGCAACTGATACCGCTGGTAATCCCTTGGTCAAATTATTATACATTCACTGATCATTTTATTAGATACACTGTACTAGTACTGTGTAGGGCCTCCCTTTGCCTTTAAAACAGCATCTGTTCTTCGTGGCATGGATTCTACAGGATGTTGGAAACATTCTTTTGAGACTCTGGTCCATGTTCACATGACTGCATCATGCATTTCCTGCAGATTTTTCAGATGCACTTTAATGCTGTGAATCTCCTGTTCCACCACATCCCAAATGTGTTCTACTGGATTCAGATCTAGTGTCTGTGAAGGCTACTGAAGAACACTGAACTCATTGTCCTGTTCATGAAACCAGTTTGAGACGACTTTTACTGTGACATGGTGCATGATGGATGTTGTCATTAGAAGATGGTAAATTGTGACCATGAAGGGATGCACATGGTCAGCAACAGTACTCAAACAGGCTGTGGCATTCAAGCCTAGATTCTTTTGTATTAACAGGCCCAAAGTGTGCCAAGAAAACATTCCCCACACCTTCACACCACCTCCACCAGCCTGGGCTGTTGACACGAGGCAGGTCCATGGGTTCATGCTGTTTGTGCAAAAATTTGACTCTACCATCTGTGGGCCTCAGCAGAAATCAAGGTTCTTCAGACCAGGTTATATTTTCCAGTCTTTATCAGTTCAGTTTTGTTGCCCATTGCAGCCTCAGCTTTCAGTTCCTTCCTGACAGAAGTGGAACCCGACGTGGTCTTCTGCTGTTGTAGTCCATTCACCTCAAGGTTCAACATGTTGTGCATTCGGAGATGCTCATGTCTAACTCCTGGAGATGTCTAACTCTGCCGACCAGAAGTGTAGTCTACATAATGCATTGGTATACATGATGTACTTGTATTTGTGTACAGTTAACAAGATACTACTTGTTTTTTCCAGTATCTATATTGAATCTTTGAGGAATAGTTAATACCAGTACCTGTCTGATTTTTTTTTTTTCTCCTCAAAACCTGCTAAACTTTAAAATGAGTTATTTGTAGTTGGTGGGCATCTAAAAGTATACTGTATTAAACAGCATACACAGATATTTTTTAAATGTAACTGGAAACACAGATGTGCTAAATTATTTAAGCACATTTTGAGACTGTACTTGGCCAATACTACGACTGTGAAATTGACACAATAATAGAAAATAAGAGATTAACACCAAACCTAAAGTCTGAACAGCCAAAGAAATAAAGTTCTTCCTTACTATTTATCAGACCGGCTAACAAATTGAAAGCAAAGCTTTAAGGTGTTCTAGAAATGCAAGTCACATACGTATTTTCACAAACGCTTGCTAGGAGCTGTTGCCAGGTTGCTAGGGCCCAGAATAAAATGTGCCTTTTAGAATCCTGTTCTTTATGTGTTTCATATTATTATTTCACATTATTTGTTTCATTGCATGTTTCAGAACCTGGTCAGTGTTGCCAGACTGGGCAGGAGGCCTTGGAATAGCATTTTATGCTAGTTGTTATCACAACATTTTTTATCAGTGGTGTTTTTCAATTACTATGTAGTATTTTTTAGTATGTACATATGTAGTACAAATATGATTAAACATTTTTCATTGAATCATTTAGGTGAAACATTTTTCTTGGCTTTCTTTATTTTTGTAGACTATTGTTGATGATAATTTCTAAAATATTCAAAGATGAAAATTTAGTTGTAGCCTTAGTCACATTAAGGCAAAAGACTGGATTTGTGTCTTTTCAATCTGGTAGCGTGAACATAGCCTTCTGTGCAGTGTGCTTTGTATCTTTGTCTGATTGAAAGACACTCCACTAGTTCAAGATTTCTGGCAGAGATGTGGTTTTTATATTTATTTATTTATTTTATTTTTTTTCAGGGGTTCTCTCTGTTTGGTGCCCCATTAATTTCTTTTCTATTCTTGGCAAGATTTTGAATCCCTGCTGAGGGAAGTACTTTTTGTTTGTTGTTGTGCAACTTGGCCGGTGTCCCGAAAGGCTGAAGAGTTTCTTTTTAAACCTCATTGGGCCACACAGCTCTGCCACAAATCCGTTGGCAGGGAAAAATGTCCAGATGGTACATTTTTGCATCAATGTTGTGAATTATGTTATATGACCAAAAGTATGTGCATGGCTGACCATTGGAGTTGGGCCCCCTTTTGCAGCTGTATTTGCCTCCACCTGTTTGGGAAGGCTTTTCACAAAATTTTGGAGTATTTCTGTGGGAGTTTATGTCCATTCAGTCAAATAAGCGTTTGTGAGGTCAGCCCCTGAGAAGGCCTGGCTTGGAATTGACATTCCACTTTTATCCCAAAGATGGTCAGTGGGGATGAGATCAGGGCTCTGTGCAGGCCACTGGAGTTCCTCCACACCATGCTTGTTAAACGGTGTCTTTCTACACAGGGTCACTATCATGCTGGAACAGGAAAAGGCCTTCCCCATAGTGTCTTTCTATCCTGTAGCATTAACATTACACTTCACTGGAACAAAGGGGCCAAGCCCAAATTCTGAAAAACAGTCCTGATCATTATTCCTCCTCCACCAAACTTTACTGTTGGAACTGTGTATTCTGGTAGGTAACGTTCTCCTGGCTTCCGCCAAATCCAGATTTTTCCATCAGACTGTGAAGTGAAGTGTGATTCATCACTCCAGAGAACACGTTTGCAGTGCCCCAGATTTCAGTGGTGATGTGCTTTACACCACTAAAGCCGAAGTTTGGCATTGGGCATGTTGATCTTAGGCTTGTGTGCAGCTGCTTGGCCATGTAAACTCATTTCATGAAGCTCCTGATGCAGAGTTATTGTGCTGATTTTGTTTCCAGAGGCAACTGTAGTGAGTGATGTAACAAAGGACCGGCTAGTTTTACCCCACCTCCCGTGAGTTTGCGTGGTCTGTTCTTCATGGCTGAGCTGTTGTTGCTTCTAGACACTTCATTTCACAATAATGGCACTTACAGTTGACATTGACTGATCTACCAGGGCAGGAATTTCAAGAACTGTGGAAAAGATGGAATTCTATGACCGTGCCATGTGTAAAGGCATTTAGCTCTTCAGTACGACCCATTCTACTGCCACTGTTTGTCTATGGAGACTACAAGGCTATGTGCTTAATTAAATACAAATGTTAGCACTGGGTGTGGCTGAAACACCTGAACTCAGTAAGTAGGAGGGGTGTTCACATACTTTTGGCCATATAGTGTGTGTCTTAGTTCCTACCGATGAGCCTTATGGGAATGGTTGTGGTTGTTTTTTGTTTATTTATTCCCACCTTTAGGCAGTGGAGACAGTAAACAGTGTTCCTTTTTTCCATCAGGTTTTGCTCCAAGCACAGAATGAGCTGTTGGATTACAGTGGCATTGGAATTAGTGTTCTTGGTAAGAGGCCATTTTGACATGAAATTGCTTAGCTAATATGTAACTACTGTTATTAATGATTCTTTTTAATATCTAGAAATGAGCCACAGGTCAGCAGATTTCATCAAGATCGTAAACACCACAGAAAATCTTTTCCGTGAACTTCTGTGAGTTTTTAAGTTTTATAATTGAGTACAGTTTACACCACCGATCACAAAATAACTGTTAACATCTGTGTATTTTTATTCTTGCTCTTTTACAGAAACATACCTGAAAACTACAAGGTATTGTTTCTTCAAGGCGGTGGAACAGGGCAGTTCAGCGCTGTTCCTCTGAATCTGATTGGTCTGAAGGAGGACAGATGTGCGGATTATGTCGTGACTGGAGCTTGGTCTGCAAAGGCTGCCAAAGAGGCAGAGAAGTACGGCAAAGTGAATGTGGTTCACCCAAAACTGGACAAATACACCAGTGAGTTACGAAGAAGCATTCAGCTTATCTTCTTGAACACTAGAGGGTGCTGTATGAAGTGATTTGTGATTTGCAGATTAGATTAGAGTGGTGTTGAGTGAAGATTAGAGAGAACTCAGCCATTTGCACGTCAGTCAGCTGATCAGGTAATGTAGTACTTCTTGGCATCCAGAACGATTCAGTATGTTTGGTAACTTAAAAAGGCACATATTTTCTAAAAGAGGCTCTTGTCAAGAGCATAACAGCAAATATACTGCATTGCTATGAAAACTTTTTGAAGGTGCCGAAACTGTAAAAGGACCAACACAAGCATATCTTACTTGGCAGTCCAAGTTTGGCTGTTTTTCTGTCTTTCTCCTCTAATGATAAAGCAGATATAAATTAAACAGCTTCTGTGTGGTCAGTTACATCATTTGATGAAATTTGGTATTGCAGATATTACACATTAACAGTACAGTCTTCAGCTGTCTCAGATACAGAGACCTAAAGCAGCTCTTCACATGTAAAGCTGCAACAACTATATATGTGATATCTCTATTGCTGATACACACTGACCGGCCACTTCTTTAAGTACACCTCCTTGTTTCTACAATCTGTGTTCATTTTATCAGGTGCATTTTGTAGTTCTACAATTACAGACTGTAGTCCATCCGTTTTTCTGTATAATGTGTTAGCCCACTTTCACTGAATAACTGTACTGTATTCTGTACAGTCATTTTGGTAATTAAAATGATGAAAAAATGTAATGGAATTCACTTTCTAAAACTTCAATATAATACTGTAATTTTTAATTATAAAACTTTTTGATCTCAGAAATAAAAAAGAAATACTTCCCTTCCTTTCAGGTATCCCAGATAAAAGCAGTTGGTCACTGAATCCTTCAGCATCCTATGTTTACTACTGCTGCAATGAAACGGTCCATGGTGTTGAGTTTAACTTTATTCCGGATACCAAGGATGCGATTCTTGTCTGTGACATGTCGTCAAATTTCCTGTCCCGACCAGTGGACGTTTCAAAGGTTTGCATTTACATTCTAAAACTTTCTCTTTTTATTATTCTCTTGTTTGGGATGCTGTGCAAAATGGAAATAAAAACAGAATGCAGTGGTAGGCGAATCATTTAAACCCCACATTAGATTTAAATTAGCACAAAGACAACATATGCTGAAGTGGAGAAAGTTTGTTTTTATCTATGCTCATTTTTTTAAAAAATTGGGACAGGGACATCAAAAGACTGGTTAAAAATAGCAATTCTCAACCTAAAATAGCAAAGAACTTGGAAATTTCATCGTCTATGGAGTATAATATCACTGAAAGATTCAGAAAATCCGGAGAAATCCCTGTATGCGAGGAACTAGGCTGAAAACCAATATTGGATGGCTGTGATCTTCGCCCCCTCAGGTGGCACTATATTAAAACGAAGTGATTCTGTAGTGGAGGTCACAGCAACACTCGAACACTTCTGAAAGCCACTGTTTGTCAACAATTTGTTGCTGCATCCGAGTTAAAACTGTACCATGCAAAGAAGAAACCATATATAACTCAGAAACGCCACCACATTCTCTGGGCCAGTTCATTCAAGATGAACTGAGGTGAGGTGGAAAGGTGTCCTGTGGTCTGACAAATCAAAGTTTGGAATTCTTTTCGGTAATCACGGATGCTACGTCTTCCGTGCAAAAGAGTAGAGATACCACCTGGCTTGTTATCAGAGCTCAGTTTGAAAGTCAGCATCCCTAATAGAATGGGGGGTCATTAGTGAACATGGCGCTAGTGACTTGTACATCTGTGAAGGCACCATTTAAATCTGAGTGATCTATGCAGATTTTGGAGCAACATATGCTGCCAGCCAGATGACGTCTTTTTCAGGGAATTATTTCAGCAAGACAGTGTCAAACCACATTCTGCATGTATTACAACAACAGGACTCTATAGCAAGAGTCCAGGTGATAAACTGGCCTGCCTGTAGTCCAGACCGGTCACCTACTGAAAACATTTAGCACATTATGAAATGAAAAGTACGACAAAGGAGACCCTGAACTGTTGACATCTAACTGCTGAAATCCTATATCAAAGAAGAATGGGAAAACATTTCACTTTCAAAACTACAGCAGTTGGTCTCCTCAGTTCCCAAATGCTTACAGTGTTGGTAAAAGAAGAGGCGATCCAACACAGTGGTAAACAAAAAAAAAAAATTCTCAGTTTCGACATTTGATGTTGTCTTTGTATTATTTTCAATTAAATATAGGCTTTAAAAGATCTGCACATCATTTATACTGCTTTTATGTACATTTTGCACAGCATCCCAACATTTTTTGGAAACGGTTGTTTCACATATTTATTTTTATTGGTTAATTTATTTGTATTTATTTGCTTCTGCTCCAAGTTTGGGCTCATATTTGCAGGCGCACAGAAAAACATAGGATGTGCTGGAGTCACTCTTGTCATCGTGAGGGAGGATTTGTTGGGTAATGCCCTGAAGGAGTGCCCTATTGTACTGGATTACCAAGTGCAAGCTGGAAATAACTCTCTCTACAACACGCCCCCTTGCTTCAGGTAAATCTGAAAATGAATTCCCATTTCAGGAACTTGATCTGGTGGTGCTGAAATGAGTCAGTATTTAGTAGGGATGCACCAATGCAACTTTTTCCCTCCTGATACCGGATCCTTGACTGTTGTCCAATACTGTGTACCGTTACTAACCCTCTTTAACCTAACCAGCTTATAAGTCCTGATATTTATACAGTTTCACTTTTTAAGTATTTTATTTTGGTAAAAGCTGTGTTCCTTGTCACTAAGAAAACATATCAGAACAATCCATCCTGTAGTGTGGGATGGTTATAAATGTAGCTTAACCAGTGATCCAGGCAACAGCCAGTGAGAAAGCTACTTGTACAAGTGGTTGGCCAAAAAAATTACTATATTAATTTATACCAAACAGCCACTTCATTACGTGCACCTCCTTGTTTCAGCAGTCACTATCCATGTTATCAGCTCCTCTTACTGTATAGGTATGCAGATACGGTGTCTGATCATATTGTACCAGCGCCACACACTAACACACCACTAGTCTGTGTCACTGCAGTGCTGAGAATGATCCACCACCCAAATAATACCTGCTCTGTGGGTGTCTTGACCATGGAAAAACAGGGTAAAAGGGGGCTAACAAAGTATGCAGAGAAACAGGTGGACTACAGTGTAACAGATTTACATCTGTTCCAGTAGTTGCATTTTGTGTTTGGTCATGAGGTAATGTAGGTTAATGAATCCAGGCCTCTAGAGGGAGCTAGTTCATCTTAGTGTCTCTAGTATTCCATATAAGGGTGGCAAAGAAGAAGTTGAGCAGCATGGTGACTCCAACAAACAAACTGCTGTTGTTGTGGAGAAGCTCCTGCTGTGCAACTTTCACAGTCCTTTGTTTGAAGAACTTCTATTCCCTTTTCATTCAGTAAATGTTGGATGTTTTTTTTTCTTTATCTTTGTGCTGGATACAAAACATTGTGTTGAGGCTTGTTTGGGGCTTATGCTAAAGCTAAGGTTTGTGTTAGCAGGCCACATTTTCAGTTTTTCAGTTGTAAATTAATTTGACAATACCTGTATTTGCAGAAGGACTTTTTTGGTGCCTATTTGTGAACTGCTGGTGGCAAGAGAGGCATGTGACACCTAAAAAGATTCAATATGCATGTGATGTGATGGACATTCTACTGTGGGATTAACTCATTATCACCCAGTTTCCACTCATCTCTGTTTTTCCAAAAAAAAGGACTGGTTTGACTTTTTTATAATACTTCGGGACTCTTGAGGAGGCCACAGGCCCATATGGACTCAAATTGATTCTTTTTTTTTCTCTTTTTGTATTTGTGTGTGGTGGGTTGAGGATTAAATTGCTTGTGTCTGTGTAGAGGTGGGATTTGTATTCCATATTAGCCTGTTCATCTTTACAATAACACCAGAAAAGGTACTCCACCTCTGTTGTATTTCTTATTTGCTTGTCCATTCATTCAGCATAGTCCAAGACGTTCTCGTTCCCTGTGTTTTTATATAAACTCGGTAGGAAAAGGGTCCTGCTGGGTCTTATAACAGTGTGTAAATGTAGAACTACAAAGTGTTCTTATGGTAAGTAGACCTGATAAAATGGACAGTGAGTGCAGAAATAAGGAAGTGTACCTAATGAGAGGCTGATCACTGTAGAACTTCGCATCACAAATTCACATCAGTGTTTGAATTTAATTGTTTGGTTTTGGTTTGGGGTTTTGCACTCCGTTCCCAAAGTTTAACCTTTATTTCACAAAATACTATGAACATTTCTGTTACGGCATATTTGGTATTTGCAGTAAATAATAATGTCACCTCTAGAGACACCGATTCAGTGTGTGTATATAGTCAACACAGTAACCTTTTTTTTTTTTTTTGGACTCAATCAAGTGAGGGCAGCAGTTGTTTTTTGGTTGTTAATATATTCATTGGCACAGCTCTAGCTTTTGCAAATGGGTCGACTGTAGTTTTGTGAAACCTGCTGTTTGTAAAGAAGGCTTCCGCAACACAAACACAATGTGAAATGAGGATGGGGCTCTTGATAACAGCTGTGTTGATATGACTGTGTCCTTTTTTCCCTCTGCTTATTTCTTCTTATTTCCTTGTTCCTCTGTTATGGTTTTACAGCATCTACATCATGAACCTGGTTCTGGAATGGATCAAGAATAATGGAGGCACAGAAGCCATGGAGAAACTGAGTCAGAAGAAGTCTTCTTTGATCTATGATGTCATCAACAGCTCCAATGGATTTTACTCGTTAGTGCACTTTTATTTGTCGCAAATGTTTACCTGTATCCTGTAAATGTCTGTTTTACAGAATAAAGTATTAGGGGTCGACTGATTGCGAGCCAATATTTATAATTTTTCTGATAATCGTAAACAGGATTAGACAGGCTTCGATGCAAGCAATATACTGGCTTGAACCAAAGCTGCCTCATGTGATCATTTGGGGAGCCCTTTATCTAATTAATTCATTTTTATTATTTTGAGAAGTTTATTTTTAGCTATTTAAAGTTTGTTTTAAAATGTTGTTTTCCAGATGATTATACTGTCTGGGTGCTCCAAGCATGTGGTTATGTTTCAGAAAGATTATTTAACTTTTTTTCATATTTTTTGTAGTTGTTATTCCGAGTTTTGTTTTATAAAACAAGTTTCCCTGCATCCATACCCTTTTAAATCATCATTTCCAGATCTTTATACAGAAGGGAAGCTCCATTCACTTTTGTTTTATTTGTTTAAATATTTAGTGTTTTAACAATTCATTTAACATTTGTTTCATTATTTCATGGCTCTGAAATAGTGTTTGGCTGGTAGTGGAACATTTTCTATCATTCTTTTGTTGTGCACACTTTTTTTTTCCCCCAAAAATACTGTCAGATGCCCTGTTGATGTGGATTGCCGTAGCCGCATGAACATTCCATTCCGCATTGGAAAAAGGGAGGGAGATGAAGCCCTGGAGAAACTTTTCCTGGATAAGGCTTCCAAACTTGGAATGATTTCATTAAAAGGACACAGGTATTTATACATACTGCACTGAAAATACCTAATATTTTATGTCACATTTTACTTCAGATTCAATTAATGTCGATATCATGGAAAACTGGATTTTCCTTGCAAGAGTTTATTGTATTATTAAAACAAGTTTCAAAATATACTATTCATCCCCCACATACTGTTCATTAGCTGCCCCTTTTGACTTTTTGACTGTAATGTCACAAACCTGACATATGACTGCCCATTCAGTGTCCAGCACTTTAGCTGCCCAGTGACACGAAAGTGATTCAGGTATTCCTGCAGACAGTCTGTTGTGCTGTTCCAAAGATCCACATATCTGAAGAGTGAGTGAAGTTTATTTATTTTTGGGTATGCTTTAAGACTTCAGTCTGAACTTCAGTTTGTTCCACTTATCATTTTACACTTTTTTTGAACAAATCAACATATATGGCAGCCAATCAGAAAAGAAGTCACAATCAGTGCACAAAAATAGTCCTGGGACTGTCTCTGAATACAGTGCATGTGTTGTTTATTTATTGCTTTCCAACATTGTCGTTTAATCATTTGTATTCATCAATAAAGTCATCACAACCAACAATAATGACCAGGTTTACTGTCTGAAATTGATCCTGGTGATGAACTGAAAACTTCAAGTAAAAGTACTGAAACGTTGCCCAGACAAACATTAGTGTCTCTTTCCTTTATGTAGGTCAGTATTCATTTTGTTGCATATTCATTCCTTTGGGTTTCTTCTAGGCATGGAGTGCATGAGTTTGCACAACGAATGCTTATTGTGCAAACTCATGCACACCATAACTGGCTTGTTGGATGTTCTTTTTAGATGCCCTAAGCAAGGCTGGTCCTGATCACGTCCTGTCTCTTTCCACCACTGCAGTACATTTATGATTTGTTTTTTGAGTTTACAGTGTATCTGTAATCTTTCTCACAGGCATTTTGTAACCAAACGCTCAGATATTTGATCCATTGTAGTGCAATGATGATGACACAATCAGGCTCCCACTGCAGTGGTGGGTTGTTCTGAGATCACAAAGCCAGAACTGATCCACCAAAGGCAGTACAACATTTTTTTGTTTAAAACACATTTCTAAAGTGTGATAACTAGTATATTTGAATGTTTTTCCTTTATTTATTTGTTGCACTAGTGATGACAAATGCAGGCTGAAATCTAAATAACTGAGATTTCCTGCTGCATTACTTCTGCTGTGTCCCAAACCACATACTAGCACACTATATAGTATGCGGAAAACAGTGCAGTAAATTTTGACTAGAAGTGCTCTCATTAGTGGTGTTGGTAAAATATAGAAGTGTGTGGACGCGTTTAACAATCCAGCAGCTCCAGCTGACTATAGCTTTGCTGTGCTGCTTGTTATCTGCCCGTTTAAACATTTCCAAGTAAAGGTTTAGTGCTGCGTTTGTTTAAAACAATCATGCTAAAGGTATTTTATGTCAACCATGAACCTTATGAATAGGAAACCAACTTTAGCTTCATATGTATGTATGTATGTAGTATGTATGTATGTGTTTGTTATTTAAGAGCTTTGGCAGGTTTGGTGGCCAACTTTAGTTTCCCTAAAATCTTACGCATAGGAATGTTCTGAAATTGAGTGGTATGCTGGTTGTACTTATCTAGCCCACCGGTCACGCTAATCTATTCCTCATAGAATTTTTTTTGGAGACTGCAGACTAAAATGTCCACCTATCTTTTCATCTTTACCATGGTCATTTATACCTTTCAACTTTACCATGGTCATTCTGTCTATTTGGTTTGGTCTTCATCCATCTGCAGGGTTGTAGCTGCAGCAACGGTGACGCGTTAAGCTGTTTCCAAGTTGCGGTTAGCCTATCAAAGTGGCAGCGGAGCACGTTCCTAATGATTGAATTATGAATTTATCTCGGTATTCAGATTTTCTAAAGCAACATCTTTAGAGTCGGGTGCGTTAGATGGTGGCTTTCCAGGAGCAGCTTTGGAGATGTTCATTTGGATTTGTTTTCAAGTATAATGGGGGATTTGATTAACATTTTCTGGCTTGCTATTGGTTAATTGGACCCAAAGTATTGATTGATTATGAAGTTATGATATAGCTGATATCATGTAATTTTAAATGTGGTAAACACATTTTTTACAATACATAACAAATTCAATAAATTAAAAAAAAAGATGGTAGTGTCCTAAAACTGCTTTTGAGCATTTTCAGTCTTGTATGCGCAGAAACAAAGCCTGAAAGAGGTGGGAAATTGGTCATATAAAAACGTATTATTTTGGTACATAAACCTCACACAGAGAACGTTGGTGAACTTCAGACAAAACAAGAAAAATATGGAACATGGCCATTTCAGTGGTGGTGATGTTAACTATTCACACTGTTTGCTGAAATTTTGGAAGATGCCAGCTGTTGTCCAAAACTCTTTTTAACCAGCATCAATTCACATTTGATCACTTTGTATGTGTAAACAAGCCCTACATGCCACAGCATAACGATCTGACGTTATTGGTTATAATCACTGATAAACGTCCAACTGGTGTGTTTTTTGACAGATCTGTTGGTGGGATACGAGCTTCTCTGTACAACGCAGTGACTTTAGAAGACACTGAAGTTCTCGCTGCCTATATGAAGGAGTTCCTAAAGGATCATCAGCCTAGTGAACTGAAGAACTAGACAAAGTCACGTTTACAAGTTACCTCAACCACTAATAACGGCTTTCTTGTTTGCAGCTGCTAGGCTGGTAATGTCACAATAGAATGTTTATTGCTGCAGTAGCTGTAATGTGAGTATAATATAGCTGTAAGTACATACACACGTCATCTTCCTCAAACACTAAGATTTTCCTGTAGGAACTGATATTGTTTAAGACCTCATGTTATCATTGAACAACACTACAATACCATGTCAGACACTGTGTTCGGAATAGGTTGTCACTCACTTACTGTCCTTAACCTGTGTCTAAGCTGGAAAACTAATATTTCTCCTAATAATAATAGCGTGCCTTAGCATATGTATACAAATGTGTATGTAAGTCTATCTATGTATCTGTCATTTTACAAAGACATTTGTACAGTATAGTTACCGTATATGTAAACACAGTAAGAAAGTTTTTAAAAAATAGTAATTAAAGTGGCTGATGAACCTCATGCCAAGTTCTTGAGTTTTTCCCTACATTGTTTAGAGTGAGCCTTCTGATGATGTGAATATACACTATGTCCAAAAGTATCCAGGCACCCCTTTTAATTAGCTGTGTTAAGATGCACCCGTTGTTAGAACAGTTGTTCAGTTGTGCAAACTTTGATTGTAAGATTGTAAAATTTCCATAGAAAAATATTGGTAATAGAATGGGATGCTCTGGAGCAGCCACCTGTGAAACTAAGGTCACCATGCCTTGTCAGCTGGAGGGGTATAAAGCCCCTTAGCACTGCACTTTGGAAAAGTGGAACTGCGTTCTCTGGAGTGATGGGGCTCCATCCAATACATTGGGGATGAGTTGGAGTACCAGATCTAACTAAGGCTTTTATGGCTGAATGCAAGTAAATCGTCACAGCAATAATCCAACCTCTGGTCTAAAGCTTACCCAGAATAGTAGACTGTTACTGCAGCAAAGGAGTGACAAACTCTATTAATACCCATGATTTCAGAAGAAAGGAGTTTTAGCAGGTGTCTACAAACTTTAGATATGTTAGGACTGGTTTCTCTGACCCACATTGAGTCTGATGTTGGACTAATTGGGATTTTATATTGTGGAACACCACTGATATTCTATCTAGTCAAAGACTAGCCTTGCATGTCTGTGAAAGCAGTTCATGATGTATTTAGCTAAGAGGGTGTGTACACTGGAAGCGGAGTTCATTTATTACCCTGTTGTCTGGCGTTAGACTTGCTCTTCATGATGAAATCAATAAATTGACTAACTTGACAAGTGTTTGACAATTATAACCATAATAACCTTAAATCATAACCATGTTAGCTGTTTCTAGGTTGGGAAAATACTTAAAAATGCATCAATATCCAATCATCCATTGTTCTCAAACACAAAGCAGCTCATGTACTTGGACTATCAGCATCTTCGTTACAATTTTATTAATATGCTGCTCCATTGCATTTGAAAGGGAATGCAAAATTATTATGAGGCAACATAGAAATATTGTGAGAAAAAGGGCCTTATGGCAAAGTTTGAAATAAAGAGAATTGTCCAGAAAGATGGAACAAGATGAGCAGGATAAGACACAAAAGACCATGTGTGCACAAAAAGGAGAACAGTTCAGCTTATGAAGAGCCAGAGTGGGAGCAAAGTGCACACTAGTCTAAAATTGGGGCAGCAGGCAAAACTTAATGAGCAAAACCCTAATAGGCTGATGGGAACTGTGAGGATGAAGAGGAGAAAAATAAGGAGCAAATGGAAAGAAATAGAAAGCAAGAAGAACAGTGAATGGCCAAGGAGATGCACTTCAATTCACAGAGGCATTGGAAGAACAGGACATTTGATAACAAGGATGACAAAAGCTCTAGAGGCAGTGGAGAAAGAATGGGCAGAGCGAGACGCTGGGTTCCTAACAACAGCGTCCTAGCAGAACATATTCAGAATCTTGAAGAAGCTAATCGGCAGCTGAAAGAGCAGCTGTTGGAGTGAAATAGCTGGACAGAGAGAACTGGTCAGCAGAAAAAGATGGTCAGTTCAGTTTTATGATTTACATGTGGGTTAACACAGAGTCAACCGTACAATGAAATGTGTTGGACGAATAAACAGGTCAGCTCAGCACTAAGAACATTAGTTATGTAGAAAATCACATATAAGAAGGAAAAAGATGGGATGAGGTATAAATAGAATATTTATTATGACATACGTAAATATCATAATATTTATTATTATAAATATTATGATATTTACATATGTGAAAAAAATTAATTTAAAACAGTGAAAGTGTATACAGCAGCATTGCACACTGGGTATGTATAATGTAGCAGCAGTCGGGTTCAACAGACCTGGTTCAGTAGCAGCAGTCATGATCGATAGTGCATTTTTGTGTAAACAGTGCAGTGAGCATGATACTCATGAGCAGACAGTGCATGGACAACACGATGGAGCTCTGCTCAAAGATCTAGAAGAACATGCCAAGTATAAGATCCAGACGAAACAGAAGGTGAAGCTGGAATGTGAATGCGTGCAGACGAGAGTGCACATTTAAAAAAGATGGATCTTCTAGGGTTCTTTAGTAAAAACAATGGTTCTATTTAGAACCATGAGTTCTATACAAAACCATTTCGTGCTTATGTTTCCTTAGATTGATGAAGAATGTGTGGTATATGGTTCTGTATAGCACCAAAAAGGGTTCTTCACAAGCTTGACATTTTCAAAAAAGCTTCTACATAGAACCGTATATTCTGCATCAATTTAAAAAACCATTTACCCATGCAAGGAGCCATTTAAGCACACTTAAACACACTTAAACACACTTAAAAAAGATGGTTCTTCAAGGCTTAGAACCATGAGTTCTATGTAGAACCGCTGCCTTGAAGAACCATCTTTTTGAAATGTGTGTGGAAAGATGTGTTGAGGTTGGCAAGTCCTATCACGGCTGAGCTAAAGAATGTACCCAGAAGCATGCCAAAGTCCAAATGAGACCATAATCAAGAAGGAGGGGATAGAATGTAAGAAGATGGAGAAAAAGATGGATAAAGAACTAAAAAAGGCAAAAGAAGGCTGAGGAGAAAAGAACAAAGGAGCCTCAGAAGGCCAAGAAAGATCTGAGTGATAAGAACACAGAGAAGAAACAGTTCTGGACAGGACTGTCTCTAATGTTAGAAAGGAGAGAAAGAATAAATAATAATAAAATAATGTCTCTTAAAATAATGTCATCACTGTCATGCAACAGCCTTGTATCTCCTTTTTTAAAACATATCTCATTTTTTTAAATAATATTTTTGCATAAATACTCCAGTTAACTCCAGTTACCCTTTGCAATGTGTTAAAATTTCATGAAGAACGTTAACAACAGAACTGGTCCAAAATTACCTGGACAAAAATCTTGTTACATTCACTTCAATTACAAGTTACAAATGTAACGAATGTTTTTTCTTCTCCTATAAAGTTACCATTTTGAAGATAAGAGGTTTTGTTCTGACACTGACAATGTGTAAAGTTGATTAAATGGTAACTTTAATGATGCACAGAATGTACAGTATGTTTCATCACCTAATAACTAAAAGCAGCTAATTTTTAATGCCAGTTATTCTAGTGCTAGTTTACATTTCAGTGCTCGCTTTTTAGCTTTATAGATTTGAATATCTGCCTTTTGCTAAATAAATAAACACTCATGTCTCACTCTTACTTTTGGGTTAAGCCCAAAAGAGCGATAATGTTTTGTTATTTTTAGTCAATTTCCTTTAGCTTATAAGTTTATTCTTTCCAACCGTATGTAATTAACGTTAGATAAATTTCACACACATTCTTGATTTTCATAAAGGAATACTAGCATATTTTGAAATTAAATTTTTTATTATTACCTTTTTATCTTTTCTAGTTATCTTTCCGTACCTCTCTACATCTTTGTTTACTTTTTTCGTAAGTAGTTTTTAATCTCGACAAATTGTTCATTTGCAAATTTAGATTAAAAAAAATCTGTCCCCTAGGACTTTTATTTACTACCGTAAATCATTTTTAAAAAATATATATTTGTGTATTGTTAATGTATATGTACGTAAAAGTGTATATGTATAATAAAATGAGTATATTCCAAAATGAAAACTGCGAGTTTCCCTTCACAACGAAGTTTCTCGACTGTTGCGTAGGCGTTACGTGTTGCGCCAAGGTGGATGTTAATTGGTCCATGGGACTGCCAATCAACCGAGCAGCCAATCGTGTTCGAGTTTTGTTTGTCGTTGGATGGGTCGCTGTTCTCTGGTGTTTACATCCAGTCCAGAGAACTTTAATCACTCAACATGTCTGCCTCCATAGCGAGAGCGACTGTGAAGGCGGTCAGCAGGCGAAAAATTTTGCCGACAAGAGCCGCTTTGACACTGGTGAGTGTTTCCTTAATGTCTAGAACGCACTCTGACGTTTCAGTACCGTTTAACAGAAGTCAAGACTAAAGCAAACGGGTGTGAGGGTGAATGTGCTAGCTAGCTAGGTGGCTAAGCTAAGCTGGGTTATCTAACGTTGGCACTGTCCGCTAAACTTTCTAGCTAGTTCTCAGAAAGGCTAACGGCTAATTAACGTTAGCTGCGTCTCAAAGTGTGAACATAAAGGCTCTTAAACGTGTCAGAGTCGTAAGATTTTTTTGGTTGGATTAGTTAAAGTTGGCGTCACATTGGCGGTGTAGTTTGATATTATGTGCTAGTTTTAGTCATGTAAAATTATTTTTGTTCCTTAAATTCAAGTAGCCTAACCAGAGCCAAATGAGCCTGATTTAGTTGCATATTATTTAGCGTTACTTTGTTTCTTGTGAATTGCCTCACATTGTTTTCATCAAAAGCAATTCTGATGTGAACATTTCAGCGTCTGTAAATGTTAAAATGTCTCTGTTACGAAAAATGACGATAGTTTTGCCCATTTCCTGAACTCGTAAACTAGAGATAACAGACATGCCTTCTAGGCATGTTACAGTTTTCTCAGCTAAGTACAAAGTAAATGCACCTTTCCGTGCAAGTGTAATTTGTATGTAAATGCAATTTAACCATAAAATTCCAAACTTTTTCTCTTCTGATGGGTGGAGTGTTGAGAATGGGAGCAGGCCCATCTGTACACAAGGCACTGGGTGATCTCTTGAGAGGGAAAACAGTGTAAACCATGTCAGTGCTTTCTCAGACACCAATTCTCAACCTAGCTTGGAAGTGGAATTCCACCGATTTTTCTTGCATATAATGTTGCATAATTATATCATTAAGATGCCAACAGTGTCATTCAGAGTGGTCTGATGTGAAGTGCTCAGTTCTAGAAAAAAAAACTTTTAAGTCGGAATTGTTCACAATGTTGATGAGGAACTAGATATCTAAAACGTTTAATGCCCCTAAAAGCTGAACTTACAGAAAATGGTTACGAGTGCATTGCCTGATGCCTGAGACATTCATTTATGACCTAAAACATTTTTAAAATCCAAAGAAAACTTTTCTTTCCCAGATTCACCCCTATTTGATGACTATAAATATACATGTAAACCCTCAAAGACTCATGTGGACCCACTAGTTATTTTGAATAGCAAATAATATGGCTATATTTCTGTCATAGAGATTGCCGCTCCTAGTTTCTATCACCAACGCTGTAAATAAACCAAATCTGTAAGTTTAGTGATGGTGCCATCATAACACACAACATCATCATGGAATTGCTTGTGAGAAATCTCTAAAACCGTGTCATTTGTAGCAATGACTTTTGTCCACAAGACTTTACATTATTGTTGTAATCAAGACTGATCAAAATCTTAATCATTGTGTGCAGATATCTAATGTCTAAACTAATGGAGCTGTTGGGAGTTTTGAGCACATATTTTATTAAACATTTATGTGCCTAGACTTCAAGTTACTATATACATTTGAAAGTGAACATTCACCATCTTCTAAGTGAATCACTTCTGTATAATGTCAATCTCTATTTCTCTTTCAGACACCTTCAGCTGTGAATAAAATCAAGGTACTTTTACAGGAGAAACCTGAATATGTAAGTAATCATAGTAAAATTGTTTATGGTTGCCTCAAATCTTTTTTGTTTGTTTGTTTATGAACTTTTTAATGTAAAATTTTTGCACTGCATCTAGATTGGGCTGAAGGTTGGTGTTCGGACCAGAGGTTGCAATGGCCTCACCTACACCCTTGACTATACAAAACAAAAGGACAACTCCGATGAGGAAGTGCTACAAGATGGTGAGTGATGAGCAGATGTGCCCTATTAAACATACAAAATCCAAGGTTTTACATGAAAATGAGAAGCCTGATGATTTTGTTTTGTGGTAGGCATCGACATTTGAAACATTTTGTTTCAATTTGAATATTGAAAATATCATTTTTAAATTAATAGTAATCAAATGTGTCAACAAGAAAATATTTAAAATGATAAATAAAGAACAAAATCACAAAAGGTTTAATGTTGGAAGTAACTCTTACTGGATTATTCAGTTGATTTAATCAGTTATCTTTGTGTTTAGGGGTGTATGATTTAACGCACTAGCAGCTGACCCACAGGATGATAACTGACAACTTCAGAGTGTGTTTCCATGAGTAGTAGAGTATTAGTATTTGAGTACTGAAATAACTATTTGATTATTTGCATTGCAAGTATATTAAACTTTGCAGTACGAAGCACAAACGCCTGAATGTGAGCCCAAATGTGTGACTGAGAAGGTATGGATAGTGCGTCTGGATCTGGTGTGACTTTTGCTAACTAGGCTAACAACTGAGTGTTGTCAGTAACGTCCTAAAAATTGTGTAAAATTTACTTTTTCGGCCAATACAACGTGTTGTATTGCTTACTGGCTATGGTTACTGTAGTCTGTTATTGTTGTTATGCTTATAAAAACGATCATGAAAAGTTTTTTCTATTTTTAATAAATTTGATATATCCACAATGGTAAAAATAATTTAAGCCCCCGTTCATTTTTCATGAGGAAAGGTGCTCTGGGTGTGGAAGGCTAAAACATGGGTTTATCTTCCTCACGCTGTCTCAGAATGTTCTTAAGCCATGCAACATATCAGAGCTGATATAGAACATGGACTGCTCATTAAAAGACGCTAAAAGAAACAAAGATTTAAGACAAACATGTTGTGATGTTAAAGTTGTCAGTAGTGCATTTTATGACAGTTTGTCTTCTGACATTTAAATCATCGCGCCAACTTGACTGGCAGTTGCAATAAATGCAGTCTCTCTGCGATTCACAAAGCTATAGGTAATTGGCTCAAGCCTAACGTGTACTTCAAACCTCTGGCAACACCTTAATCAAGAAGACAATGCCACATGTTGGATTGTGTTTAGTGGGGGTAGAAATAAATATAGCAAACTTGCACACATGTAAGTGCTTCATTTTACTGTGTACAGATACATATATTTCATTGAGTATACGTACCTTGTTTGTACACTTACTGTCCATTTTATCAGCTCCGCTTACCATATAGGAGCACTTTGTTGATCTTCAATGACAGACTGTCGTCCAGCTGTTTCTTCTTGTACTTTGTTACCCTTAAACCCTGTTCTTCAATGGTCATGAATCCCACAGGACCACCACAGAGCAGGTATTGTTTGGGTGGTGGATTATGTGGTCTACTTGTTTATAGCCTAATCTAGCCGTAGTGCAAAGGCTGCCACATACTGCTGAGTAAGTCACTGCCAGCGAGAGTAAATAGACAACAGTAAACAAGATAGCATTGGGAGTTGGAGCTGATGAAATCACCATCATGTAAAGCTGCACGTAGCCTAAAGACTGTGTACCTAACCTGGAACTGAATAAATTGGATCACTAATTTTGGTTATGAAAACAATGAATAAATCACTGGAAATAGGTATGTGCAATATATTGTTGTTGCTGTTATTATTATTGTGATAAATTATGCCACAGTAAACTTTTGTAATTATATCATGGGTATCATTGGTACTGAGTAGGGATGCATTGTGCCATCAGACCAGAACGAGTACATGGCTTTTTTTGGTATTTGTGATACTGAAGTGCAGAAAAGCGCTTCTGTACAACTCTAAGTAAAATACATTTAGTAGTTTTGAGACCCACTCCACATCTGTCTCTTTCAAGAGCAGTGTCTGTAGCACAGTGACACTCGGAATCCCATCTGAAGCTAATGCATTTGAGGCACTCGACATACATTTTGTTGGAGTCTTGCTGGCTGGTTGCGCTGTAGTTGAATGTTCTTTGGTGACTCACACTGTATGTTTGAAAAGACCATTGTACAAGGATAAAGTGTACAATTTATATACTCGCACTGTACGAACATTGGTCTGGTTGACGTAAAAGGCAGCCAATACAAACAGCTCTGTCTGTAAACAACTTCCAATAAAGCTGTTTCATTCAAAACAACATCCAAGGACTGAATTAGAAACCAAGCTATAGCAGCTTTGCCAACTAGTGCTACAACTGTGCACTGAAACTAAAAGCAAGCGGTGATGTGCTTAAAAATGGGCTAAAATCACATGTCTGGAAGGAATAATCCAAGACGGAATGTTTAAATTGACCCACGACTTTGTGTCCAACCTCCATGGAATCAGCAACACTTCTGTGTGTGCAGACCCTCGTTCACTGCCAGCTTGAGTTGTTTGTTCATTAGAGTGCCATCATATATGCTTACATCACACGGTAGCTTCTGGTATCGGTTTCAGTTTCTTTTAATGAGGACAAGTACCGGTAAATGAGTACGGTGTCAGGCCGAAGTCACAGCTTTGAAGAGAAAAAAGGCAATTTATCATCTTAAAAAACAGTCCACAGATGAGCCTAAGCACAATTTTAAATGTTGATATAGGAAATGAAATGAGAACATTTTGTTGTTTTTATTTTTTTTATTTTTTATTTTTTTAAATCATTTGCCCAGAAATCCAAAGGCAGAAAAGATTCCTCAATCAAAATGACAGCATGTACGAAGTGCACTGCTTCAAGCTTGTAAGCTTTTAAGCCTACATTCTGCTGCTTGCTTTACAAAAACACACTTGGAACATTTTCACTTGGGCAAACAAAAACATTGCGAAAACCTGCTTTGGTGCCAGGCTGATTCAGGCAGGCCTGTAAAAGAATTGTTTGGACTTTTCTTGACGGTACCACTCAGTGGCTTCAGCTTAAAGTCTTTCAGGAAATTAAACTTAATAGCCAGTAGTTTAAAAGATGTTGACAACTAGAGAACTTTTTTCAGTGAAATCCCAGGGTGTATCTACGACTACAATCAATTCAAGAGTAAATAACAACCGGTGTAAAGCAGGGCTGGGACAACTTATTGATTCATCAGTAGTTATTGGTAACAACCGTGAAATAACAAAAGTAGAATTTATTTTTCCCTTCTGCACCATCAGAAACAGTATTGCTCCTTCCTAATGTTGGTTTAGTGCTTAGTGGCGTGGCCATGAAAAGTCATGAGCTCTGATGTAAATGCTGGGTTTAGTGCTAAAATGTTTGTTTGTTTATTTATTTATTTATTGGGGGGGGTGTATAAAACGTGAGACTCATGAGGCTTTATTGCTGCTCTGGTGCAAATGGAAACTGTCCTATATGTCCCTTATTATTATTTATATCTTATTTTATTAATGTATGTATACCAGTTGTTAGATTTCTCCTCCTGTTTGTATTCCGCAAAGTGGGATTTCTGTTAGCCAGATAACTTTAGCCCAAAGAAGAGGACTATGTGGAATGTCCCTCAGCTCTTTTCCGATTGTACAGGCTTGACTTGGGCCTAAGTTAACTGGCTAAACTAAGAAATCCAGCTTTGTGAAATACCCCAAGGCAAAACTGTTCAGGATGTGCAGACTGTTTTCTTACAGCCTTTTAGTGCTTGCAGTGCTAATGTAAGGAGCTGTTAGTGTTTCATTTATTTTTGTTTTGCACATATTGAATGGTGCTTTTGTAATTTGGTATTTTTGCTATTTGCTGAGCTTTCTGTTTACACAAAAAAAAGAACACAGTGTCTTCCACTGTGACAAATCATTTTATACATTTGTCGCCGAATTTATCGCTTCTCAGATCGTCATTGTGGTATTTAACAGTTTTATCAACCATCACATTTTATGTCCATATCATGCAGCTGTACTATAAAAAATAAATATTTGTCTTGTCTTTTTCAGGTGTGAGAGTTTTCATTGAGAAGAAGGCTCAGCTGACCTTGTTGGGCACAGAGATGGATTTTGTAGAGACGAAACTGTCCAGCGAGTTTGTGTTCAATAATCCTAACATCAAAGGAACGTGTGGCTGCGGGGAAAGCTTCAACATCTGAACCTCTTTGCATGCTGAGCTACACATAGAGCCCCCTTTCCTTTCCTGCCATGTATTATCCTGCAGGACAAACCCAGCCCCATTCCCAGAGCCAACATCAAGAACCACATTGTTGCTTAAATGGCAATAAAAGACTTGAGGGATAGACTAAGTGGAAATGAAACAAAAACAAAGCTCAATGCAAGTCACTAAACTCCTTTGAGCTATGCTTGGTTTTGATGTTGAGGGACAGAAGATCATTTTCAGATGTTTTGGTTGCAGCACAGGAAGCTGAGGTCCAGTCGTGTGTAAAGGATAAGTAATGTGCACTGTGGGTCAGTATTTATTTTCTTGTCCATAACGTGAAATGATAGCTGTTGATGTACATTCATTCTTTAGTTTTAGGAAGATTCTGACGTGTGGTGCTCAGTGTGTGCAGTGTGCTTCTTCGGGGCCATCATAATGGAAGGTAGGCTGTGGCAGTAATGAGAATGAGACAGTGCTTGGCACCCTTTTACAACAGTTATGACATTTACTTGAGCCACAATTCAATTTGGCACTGAACTGGACACTTCATTAGGTGTCTACACTTATTGTACAGTTTAACAGGTCTGCGTTGTAGTGCTGCAGTTACAGATTGTCGTCCGTCTGCTTCGCTGCATAATTTGTAAGCATTACAAATTATTACAGGTATTATTTGGGTGATGGGTCATTCTTAGCACTGCAGCGACACTAACATGGTAGTGATATGCTAATGTCTGTTATGCTGCTAGGCCTGTTACATGAGATTTTAACCACCTAATACCTGCTGTATAAATAGTTGCATTTATCAGTTTGTCTTTGTGCATTGTATGCATCCATTAAGTAAAAGTGGTCAGACTGGCTGATTAGCTGTCAATACTGTCAAGCAGCTCCCAACTGACAATAGAGCTTCATCTCAAACAAACAGTACTCACTGCTGCACTCTGTAGGTGTTAAAGGACTGGTCAGAAGTTCTTGTAAGATCCAGAGCACCCTTAGGCAAATTATATGTTTAGTTGATTTTCTAAGTGAAAATAAGTTTCATTTTCTACAGGGAACAAACTTTCTAATGCATTTTAATGCACAGTTACAATTTATTTGCTGATTTTAACATCGGACATAAAATGAAACCTAAAATATGGCCTGTGCAAAAGTTATGGCACGTTTTATATGTCATGTTATATTTTTTCCAATATTTTAAACTTAGCAAAAATATACCAAATATATGCCATACCTATGTTTGTGTTCTATGGAGGATGTGTTAACTTATTTTCACTTTTTGTACAGGGCTGTTTAGACTTTTGTGGAAAGTGGTTATTTAAGCGGTCACCTTAAATTATTAAAATATCAAGTAACTGTGATTAGATGATGTAATAATTATCAGGCCTATCTGCAATGAGTGGATTAGACAACAGTGTACATTCATTGTCCACTCTGAAAGCTCATCCGTTGCTCCACAGTTTGTGTTAGTCATCCTCTAGTTCTTCATCAGTGGTCACAGGATGCTGCCCACAGGACGCCGTTGGCTGAATGTTTGTGGTTGGTGGACTATTCTCAGTTCAGCAGCGACACACTTGTTTAATAACTCCAGTAGCACTGCTTCATAGCATGTCAGTGTCACTGCAGTGCTGAGAACGATTTTCACCTGAATAATACCTGCTCAGTGGTGGTCATGTGGGAGTCCTGCCCACTGGTGAATGGGGTAAAGGAGGGCTAAGGTATGTCGAGAAACTGATGGACTACAGTCTGTAACTCTAGAACTGTAGTGTGCATGTATATAGTAAATGGACCTACATATAATACAATACAATGTAGGAGTCCCTAATAAAGCAGCCAGAGTGTGTTTTTTGTTTTCCAGTTAAAGCATTTCACAGACAGTTGTCCTGGAAAATAACTAGCCAAACATCACGCTTCATCCACATAAACCTGTTTTTAGATGCAGGTAAGCGTCATGCACATCACTGCCTGTAGAGAGTAATGTAAATCTGCTTAGGTTCTCATAGAAGTTATTAAAGTGATGATTTGAATTGGATTTGTGTTGTTTCTGGAACTCAGCACAGGAAGAGCTTATGTTTTAAAGAGTCTTTGTAAAATCTCATCTGTGGTTGTAAAAACTAAGGATGCTGTGTGTGTGTATATAGAAAGAATGTAAACTCTGTCTTTTAACGCACAATAAATGTACAGTTATATGCATAAATGCTGAGTCTCTTACTTGATCCATATACAGAATAATCTGCTGTTGCCCTGTTGTGTGACTTAAAGGAATACTTTACTTACCAAAAATGCTATGTGCTGTTGCTGTGGCAACAATGCTTCCATTTTAATCAATAGTCCATACCATAATCAGTCCATACCAGCTGCACAAGATGCTTACATCCGTCAAAAAGCAAGGCCTTGTGTCCTGCTGGTTTATTGGTATATGAATTAAGTCTAGAGTCACTGTAGGCATGGATGAAGTGAGCAGAGGTCCAGTCAAATCACACATGCTTTCTATAGATCATAGATCACTTTCTGCAACCCCCAAAAAGTAGGTACAGTGTATAAAGTGCTAATAGAAACAGAAAGCAGTGATATAGTAAATTCTGTTTGACTTGTATTAAATTGAAAATGGTACAAAAACATTATTGGTATTATATTTATATATTTATTAATATATTTATGTATTATATTTTTATTATATTTTAGTTTATGTTACCTTTAATGTTTACTCTTTAATAATTTTGAAAGCAACAACATAATTTGATGTTTTTGATGCAAATGCATTCCCAAAACATGCATCATGGTACCCAGTTCTTGGATTAGACAGAAAGTGTACTTGCATTTGCAGGTAATTTCATTTTTAAAAACTTATAAGGTGTTGCATATATTCTGTCAAGCATGCTTTTTGACATTCATGTTTGTCCATTTAGTTGTCTAAGTAGGTTCCAGACCTAGGCTACAAAGTTGAATTGAAAAATTACAATGAAAAAAGGTTTGTGCTTGTATTTACAGCAAACTTCCTGACAAAACACAAGCAGAGTTATTCATATTTGATCTATGCTTAGTCTAGTTCTTAAGCTATCCTTTTACAGTGAAGGTGTACTTGTACGTGTACATGAACTCTAAATCAAGGTATTCATTTGAAACCGCTGAAACCAGCACCAGGCTTTGATTCATTGAGCTGACTGAAGCTGAATGAAGGTTCAGACGTCACTGATCATGTTTTTTGGAACATGAATCAAGCCTCAATATAGTGCTTTAAATCATTGTTTTTTGACACATGCTTCAGAGCTTAAGTGTTAAAGCTAACATGACTATACTACGCTATACACTGCTATACTCTGCTATAGTATAGTACATACTGTTAGTACAATACTAGTAAATGTACTACTATTGGTAATGTATCAGGAAAATGTGAATAATGTAACTTTCTCTTGAACATGTGATTTGTGGAATATTTCAGATATTTGTTGGGGGTTTTGTGAAAGACACTTTAGCTGTGTGTAACGTCTTTTTCCTTGACATATGTATTTGTTAATGCAACGTCAGGGGGACACGTCGTCCCTATTGTGGAATCATAGAAGAACACTGATTTTTTGCCTTATTACAGCTTTATTTGGTTGAAAAGGCAGTGCAGTAAATGTGGATGCTGTTGATAAGAGGAGGGGAGCAGTGTGCGAAGTTCTCAGTGTTGGATTGTTTAGGGCTCTTTTTGTGAAAGGCTTTGTGGCCTTGTCTCTGGTCACATCTGGTCACTGTGTGGTCATGAAGGCTGATCTGAGAGCCTGCTGACATCCATGAAACTCCTGTATACAGTTTTTTCTGTAAGTCCTTCAGGTCAGCAAAGTAGGTCAAACTTACCCCTCCTAAAAAACACAAAAGGGAATGGTAATTTTAGTTTATGCTGTAGATTATAAATAATATCATGAGCAGAAATCCACAGTTAAATTGTGAGTGAAGTGCATTACAGCTGAACTGCTTTTAAACGTCTGAGAGACTATTAAAAAAAACAAATTTAACTCACATTTGTCTGATGTGCTATTAAAACTCTGTTAACGTTTCAAAATTAATCGTTCTCTCCTCAGCCAGTACCATCTCCATATGACATTTAAGCTAAAAAAACATTTTGAGTTCACTGTTTTTGTCAAGTCATTGAAAACGAACTATTTACACACATCTGCCACTTCAGCCTTGAGCAGTTTAACCCTACCCATTCACACTGAAGTTATAAGCAGTGTTTCAGTCCAGACAGCTCTTTGAAGAAGGCTCAATACAGGACCGCCAATCAGAACAGAGGCTATTTACATATATTGGTCTTAAAGTCACAGTAACAAAACAGTACACAGTACACAAGGCATAAATAAGAGAGGTTGGAAAATGGTACAGTTAAAATGAATTACGACTGTTTTTGGTACAGGAGACCACACAAACCTACAAACACTATGTGCCCTTTAACCTTTAATGTACCATTCTTCATGAAATGTTCAGGCAGTTTTTTTTCATATTCACCACTATTTTACCGTCATCAACATTACATATAAAAACAAAGAAGACAACATGTAGGTTCACTGGTGGTTTTAGATGTAAATAAAATAGCTTTATTTGTGTTGTAGACATTGTGACCCCTGGTTCCTATCACCACCAGTTGGTAAATTTTCCTGGTAAAAATCCTGATATATTTGAACTCCTGCTAAGGCTGTTTTTGAAAGCTACTCTTACTTCTACTTGAGTCACTATTTCTTTGCAGTAAGAAAAAATTTACCTAAGCTCATTTGTTTTTTCTTTGCAAAGTCTTTGTGTAAAAGGCCTGGATGCAGTCAATTCGACTCACGTGCACCACAGGTAGAAGCAATTTTTTTTCTTTGTTTTTTCATATACTAGATGTTTAATGGATTGATTTAAAACAAATAGTCCCAAATTTAAGTTCTGTGTAATCAAGTAAGACAAAAATGTAAGAATGTAAGAATCTAGATGACATGTTTGTCTATTAAATGATAAAATTAAGACAATTTAGTGATCACAGAAAACAGTTATTAGGTTCCTGCAGAAAGCTGTACAAATACTGCAGAGTAGGATTGCATGCTATTTTGGTAACGCGTTAAACAGGAAAGTACATGGAAAGTGCTGTATCGCTTTCACTGAGGGGCATTTGAAGACAGATTAGCAGGACTAAGGGGGTATGTATTCACAGTAAATCCATGCTAACCCCTATATTCATTAACTACTATGAAACTAACTTAACATCAAAATTGCACAGACCACATTCAATTACTCTGCTAGTTAGTTAAATTAGCAGCTTTTTAATTAACATGTTTTGACACAGCACATCATTCTCTCTAAATGAAGTCATCTATGAAGTGTAATTTATGTATTTTCAACTTCTTTGGTGTATTTTTTCCAGCTTTTGCCGTTATATATATATATATATATATATATATATATATATATATATATATTTGAGTTTTTAATCTGTTCTGTGTATATTTAATGTGTGAATTTAAGGGATTTGGAGACCACTCTGGTGGGAATGTGTAATTGCATGTTATTTGCAGAAAAACATTTTGTAACATGGGTCATGCTTCGGACCCCTTCCCTGAGAGGATAAATCTGATGATCGTGAGTGCACTGAAAGAGTATTCAAAGAGAACAAGTTAAAACTTGGTGTCTTCTGAGGATGTTAGTGAATTGTCTACTATTGTCATCATATCTTCATCAGTTTAAGGTTGACTTTGCATTTGAGCCCTAAACATCAAGCTGGACCTTCTTTTTGAGCTGGACTTTTTGTGTGTGATGTTAATACATAAAGATGTGTGACATGATCTGAAAATCTCCCTTGTCTGTGAAAATGAATTTTTAAGTAGTCAGTATGGTCATAGCTCACTTGATGGCTAGCTCATCCTGTCCTAGAAGCACTGTGAGTTCATCAAAGAGTGCATATGTGGTCAGTCTCCCTTTAGTTAATAGTTATCACCCTTTGAATCCCAAATGAATCTGAGCTCTGTGTAAAACTAGGGGGCATCAAGAGCGAAGAAAATAAACCCACATACACATAAATCATGATAATATTATGGTTAAGAGAGTGAAGAACTGAATGGTGGACCTATATAGAGACCCTTAAGGGTATAAAAGTTCCATACTACAATGTTGAAGTTTGTACTTTGTCTTACCGTAACAGACTGACTTATTTTTGACTGCAGGTAAAGTGGGCTCTGAATTTTTGCTGGGCCGGTTCTTCACTCCCAGAAACTGAGAGGAGAGAACATCCCTCTGGTACAGGTCCCGAGTGGATTCACCATGCACATCTTTCCACACGGTGATGTGAGGATGAAAGCTGTGGTCAGGGGGTACTGGAGGAATGGATGTACCTCTCTCTTCCTCCTGGTCCACCTTCTTCTGATCTGTCTCAGCAGCATAAGTTGATCTCTGCTGATAATGTCTTCCACTCTGGGGCCTACAGAGCTTTTTTGCTTTCCGGCAACAGATCTAGAGCCGAAGCTGCAAATCTTTCCTTTGAGGCATTTGGGGGAAGTGAAATGTGGGTTGGTGGGTGTCGTGGTTTGATGAGTGTCCACAACTCCAGCTGAGCCAGCAGTTCTGAAATCTGAACACAATGACACTTTGACACCCCCAATTTCTGCAGTCAGCAATAAGCTGCAAGGGGGTACAGTCATTTGAAAAAGTTTAAATATTCCAAATGTTGAATTTCTGAGTGGAACTAAGTAAACAAATTCTCTACAGGAAGCAATATGGCAAAGTTTAGTGCACATTTTATTTTTACTTACTGTGTTTAACATATTGGGGAAAAAAATAAAAAATAATAAAACATACAACATTATGACAAAAAATACGTAACTTATATCAAAGTTTTGATGGTATAGACAAAATAACCACTAAGTCATGGAGGTGTTACTACTCTCATCTTCCTTAAATATGTTTTTTGATGTGTTATGCAGTATTCTGTAGTGCAACATTATCTCTCACCCTCATCAGTTTTACAGAATTCACAACTTTATATCATTTTCATCTTTTCATTCAGCAATGTTCTCTCAATACCCAGCATACATTACTCAATTACATTATGCAACAATTAAGAATCTCTGTGGTGTCAACCAGTCCTGACTGCTAGCCTAGCCACTGATATTTAGGCTAATAAATACAACCAAACTAGCATTAGCGCAGCGCTCGCTTGTCTAACAAAAATGTAAAGAAAACAATGATTCAATCTTTACTGAGCACAAAATGAACACCAGAGTATTTTTTACTCTTTTTTACTCTTCTGTTGTCTAAGTAATGCGCTCTCTCTCTAAAGGTGATTTGAAGACAGTTACAACTACAGCTGCAATAAGATATTCAGCTTCCTTGCAGTAGTGTTAGCTGTCTGCCCTCTTTCTGCACTCACCAGCTAACACTTCAAAACAGCCCTCTCCCGAAATTCAGCTGTAGTTTATCAAAGATTTCTCACATCTTCAAGATACGCCATTAGAATTGGATCAAGCTGAGCACATTAAACAGCCGAGACAATTCCATAGCTCGGTTTGATGTAGATATTAGCAGTTTTCTTTTTGACTGAAGTTGTAGGGGGATTGATGTTAGCGGTCTGAAGAAGCTAAGGGTGTTCATTGCTACACACAGCTTAGCTGACAAGTCACTTCAGAACAAGTTATTTTGGTGATGGTAATGTGGCGGTTACCTTAAATCCATACATAGCTTGATCGTCTTCTCCCTTTTTTGGTGAGTTTATCATATTGCAGAGTTCTGAAGCTTTTCAAAAATGTTTACTAAGGCTCATTGTAGTGAACATGTTTTGTTGTTAGCTCCATATGCTATTTTTTAGGAGTTCCATTAAAAAATCTCTGCCTCATTGTTCATTAAATCACACTTCAGGGAGAAATTTTACTTAAAATAACTTGCAGACAACTGATGATGGTTACTACATAATTAGCATAACAATAAATTGTGTCATAAAGGCTACATTCGATAAAACACTAGAACTCTGTTTACTCGCGTCTTTTAGTGGCTTAAAGGGCCCATATCACAGAAAATTGAATTTTCCTCACTTTTTTTAAGAGTTTAATGTAACATGTAAACACTGTTAAAATTTCAACACAAGCCATTCACTCCCTAGTCCGAACAGTCCTTATATGGAAACACAGCCACTGTTTCTGTGATGTCACAGAAGCTTGTATCTCCAAAAGTGTAACCTCCCAGGAGAACTTATAATGGAAGTTAATGTGAAAAGATTTTTTTCCTAAGTAATTTGGAGAATTTCTGTTGGTTCATTTATTGTGAAATTTTAACACAATGAAAAGGGCTCCACATTCTGTGAAAAAATGACAAAAATGGAGAATCAAGCACTTACAGCAGTTTAGCCCCGCCCACTCCCACTGAAATTATAAGGAGTGTTTCAGACCAGCCTGCTTTCTGAATGATGCACAATGCAGCGCAGATCATAACATTAACTCATTTACAGAGGCTATTGGTCTTTGGCACAATAACAAAAACAGCCTGTTTAATTCTAGGGGCTAAAGAGAGGTTGGAAAATGGTAATGTAAAAATCAATTACGACTGTTTTTGATACATAAAACCCACATAAACTTTAAAAGTGGACCTCAGGGGCCAAAATGAAATACACAAAAAATGTATGATATGGGCCCTTTAAATCAGTGCAATCTGGTTGGAATTCTCCAGGTTTTGTCCAAACAAAAAGTCTACCATCAGTATGATGTTACGCAAAAAGTAATTTTTCTGAAAGATTTAGTTTAGTTAAACATTTTATGAGGTAATCTAAATATCTTTGTTAAAACTTGCCCTTTAAATCAACCTTTATTATTCCATTAAAGGCTAAAAGCTATGCTACATTTAAAAATATGTTCACAGACAAAAAGCAATATTCACACACAGTCAATGACAGTTAAACAGACGAACCATTTGACTGTCATTGTGTGTGAATATTGCTTTTTGTCTGTGAACATATCTTTAAATGTAGCATAGCTTTTAGCCTTTAATGGAATAATAAAGGTTGATTTAAAGGGCAAGTTTTCATCAAGTTTTCATAATTTCTGAAGAATTAAATAGTTAACATGTCAACAAAATCATTCAGAGTGGTTTGGTCTAAAACTGCTTAATTCTAGAGAAACGTACAGAGTCAGCATTGTTCAGAGTGGTGGTGATAGGAACCAGACATCCGAAGAGTTTAATGCCGCTAAAAGCACGGAGGGTTATTACATGAATTGGCTATGAACACTCAGCCTAATGTCTGAGACTAGGGGTGGGAATCTCTAGGCACCTCACGATTCGATCCGATTACGATTCAGAGGGCTGCGATGCGATTATAAAACGATTATCGATGCATCTCGATGCATCTTTTTTTGTCTATACATGATTTCTATTTTCTTACTGTGTGAGGACTTGGTAGTTTTAAAACAAAGTATTTGTAATCAGCCATAATGATTTACTTCCAATATCTTTTATTAATAAAACAAATGGAAGTGATGTGGCAAGTGAACTAGAAGGCTCTCATTAACTGCTCTTGTTTGGAGACGCTGCTGCCACTCATCTGTGATAAAATGCGCTGTTACGGTGAAATAAGATAAGTGGTAATGGATGACCATGCAGCACATTATATAATCTTTAGTGATTTTATAACTTTGGTTGTTGGTCTCGTGATAGAGGGGGGAGCGCGAAAGACTGCAGGTCACGTAGCAACGAGGTTTCGCCGAGCGAGTAGCGAACGAAAAAGGAAAAGAGAAAGATAGACGAACATTTGGAGATGAATGGACTTATTCGCATTTATAAGCAGTGCAGTTGGTTTCCTGGTACGTTAAATCTGCAACGAGAGACTGTCAAACACTAAAAAGTTGCGAAGATGAAGTCGCTTCTCTTTCTAATTTTCCCGTTCCACCTTAAATGGTGCCGCTTTTACAATCGGCGCCTCAGTCAGAATTTAAGGTGGATTTATTTTCCATTCACGGTGGAGGGATACATGAAGCATGTTTTAAAGCAAAATAGACCTTAAAGAGGTTTTTTTTTTTTAGATTGACCACTGTTAAGCCATAATGAGCTTTAACTACATATAAAATTTAGAAAATACATGTAGGTTCACTGGTGATTTTGGATAGTAAATAAAATGGCGACATTTGCATTGTAGACATCGGGACCCCCGGTTTCTACCACCGCCGCTTTAAAGAAATCTGAATCTGTAAGTTTCTCTACAATGCACCATTTAAAATCAAACCACTCTGAATGTCTTTGTTTACATCTCAACCACTGAATTGTGCAGAAATGAAAAAGAATTCCCCTTTACCTTGACTTGATATTAGTATCTTATGAATAATTGACTGAAAACATTCTTGAAGCTTCGTCTGTAGTTCTGAGGTGAATAATGTTTTTCAGTCTCCATTTAGGCGACACAGGCCGCGTCACAAGCTGCTACGCCCCTCCCAAAGGTGAGTTGCCGGGGCAACTAAAACGCTGCGGGGCTTCAGGTCAGGCAATGCGCGCTAAGTGACCCGGGAAAAGCAGCGTTCCTTTTCTCCCGCCCGCTTTCCGACAAACCCCGCCCACTGAGCTACGATTGGCTCACTCTGTCGCATCTCCCTCGCTACGATTGGCTACTATTTCACATTCACCGTCAGTGAGGCGGAGTTTGTCGGAATACGGGTGGGAAAAGAAACGACACTGCGGTTAGCACGTCACCCCATAACAACAAAGTGATGTTCCGGAGCTGTGAATGCTACAGACGAACAAACATAAAGCCTATTGAAGAGAATTCGGTTCTGACCGACGGGCTACTGCTAATATCAGCCAAAACATGTCCACTTTTAGTGATTCAGGCTTCGAAGAGGACCTCCAGAGCCCTTCACCGTCCAAACTCTTTAAAGCGCCGCAAACAAGAGAGCTGAATGAGAGACTGACAGCTGACTGCCAGGAGATGAACTACGACGAGAGCTGCTTCATAATTCAGAAAAACAACGAAAAGAAGTTCCTTGCTGTTAATTGTTTGGCTTGTCAACCACAGGTACGCCCTTAAAAAATGGTAGCGCTCTCAGTACGCTCTTACTCTTTAGTAACTTTAGTTAGGCAACGTAATTGTACCATATGCAGTTGCAGCTGAGTTTTTTCATGTCTGCATTGACTCCATGCAGCATGCTATGACGCCAGGCCTATTATTTTGTTTTATGAAACGGTACAAATATATATCTTTCACTGAGAAAAGTAAATATTAAAAACTCATTTGAAGGGGAACAATTTTTCAGAATTGCTACATAATCAAATGGTTAAGATGTAAAAGAAGTCATTCAGAGTGGTTTGGAGAAGGGTCTGGCTGCAGACTAGAGAAACTCGCCGAGTCAGAATTGTTAACAGTGGTGCTGATAGGAACCAGACGTCCACCTGTGAAAGCTCCCTCACAAGAATATGCTGCCTGATGTCTGAAACATTGTTTAATGATAGTTTTGTGGTAAAGTTTTGGCTTAAAATGTATTTGAATCCATTTATTTTAATCCATTCATGGCAGAGGTGTTGTAGACCCCTGGTTCCTATCAGCACCATTGTAAAGAAAACAGAGTCAGTAAGTTTCTCTACAAATGAACCATTTCACATCAAACCACTCTGAATGACATTGTTTACATCTCAAGGACTGAATTAATCAGAAATTTAGAAAAATTGGTGGAATCTCTTTTAAGATGCATAATTGGGCAAGCAGCAGTTTGTATTTTTAAACTATATTTACATTGTTTGTAACTTAGGGGCTAAAATGTACACGTACAAGACCCTTTTTGTGTCAGTGAAGGGTTCTTTAGTAAAGGCAATGGTTGTATATAGAACCATGAACACTCAAATAACTATTAAAATGCCTAAACAGTTCTTTGTGTGATTACATGGTTCCTCTCTATTATGGAAAACCGTTCTAAAAATTGGTTTTGTAGAGCTCCAAAAAATTTGTCACTGTGGTTGCAAGTCATGGAGCCTTTCTGGTACTATATGAGCCCTTTTTGTTTAGAATGTAGCCTTCTTTAACTATATATTTAGACTATGTTGAACCTGTCTCACATTCATTAGTGTATTATTTAAGAATGTACTACTATAGGGAATTGCTTGTCATATTAATAGTCTTTAGACAGTGTATGTCTGTATATGTGTTGGGAAGTATTGGGAACAACAAAAAGTAAGAATTAAATGATGTGCAACCAGTCTTTCCCAGTCCTGGTCCTGAAGGCCTCCCTGTCCTGCACATTTAATGCACCCCAAATAATCAAGGCCCAGTGTCCCAGAAGCATCTTAATGTTAAGACAATCATAACTGGTAGAGACAGTGTTTAGTGTCTTTAGTCTGATGCTTGCACTGCCTTCTCAAAGTAATATTTGTAGGAAACCCAGCCTCCCTCATTAACAAGCCCTTCCAAGTTGAAGCGGGTGTGTTAGAGCAGGAAAACAGTAAAATAGACAGGGGTACTCCAGGACAGGGGCTGGGAAACATAGGGAATATAGGGAAATTGCACCCCCTAAAGAACAATGGGCCTCATTCACCAATATCTTCCTAGGTTTTTTTCTTAAATTTGTTCTTGGGAAGAGTCCTAAGAAAAAGTCTACATCAACTTCATGACGTGTTCTTAAACCGCAGAACTGTTTGCACCTGTTGTGCTCTTGAGTGAGCATAGATTCTGTTCTTACTAAGAACAAATCCCAAGCAATTGAGTGTCAGAATCTACATGAAAACTGCATACATGGGTTTAAAGAAGATCTGTGTATAAGTTTAGCACAAACAGAAGGCAGTTTTGTTTTTACAGCGCAAAAAAGAAAATCTTATAAAGGCGCATTTTACCCCACTATTATCAATCATTTCTAGGTTTTGCATTTTCAGAAATTAGTTGTTAATCAAATTACAAAATTAAATTGAGACACCAATTAATTTGTTTTATTTAATAAACTATGACAAAAAAGCAAGTAACAGTAAAATAGAAATGCTTGAAATGTCAATTTTGTTAATTAATTAAGTAGTTATTCTCTATATTCTCTATATTCCTCATCACCTCCCACCCCCCCAACACACACAAAATATATCTTTAACACATTTTCTTGTACAAGTCAGTATAAATGCACAGGTTACTATTATCAAAAAACATTACATCAACTGACCTGGGGTAATCTTAGAAATGTGATAATCAAGAATAGATCAGCCCACAGCCATTCAGTAAATGTGTCGAGATTAGTTTGGACATTTTGCAATCATCTATAGCTGCATTTGTCATTCTGGGTGACTGGAAACTAAAACGTATTTGAAACCTGTAAAGTTGGAAAGTACTAGAATCATATCACAGTCATTTATTGATTTCTTTATTTATGTTTGTAACAAAACTGGCTTCGTTTTGTTGAACAAACTGATTCCAAACTCATTAGCTGTGGCGTCCACCTCATGCTGTGCTAAACATATTTTCACAGATTACAGCTGAAGCTCGCTGCAAGCTGGTGAGCTGGCTCATAGCTGTCTATAAACACTTCAGCCTCTCCTTTGAATCCTGTTGCTTGGCCGTGAACATCATGGACCGTTTTTTGGTCACCACGTCCGTGGCTGCGGACTGCTTCCAGCTGCTGGGTGTCACATCCTTATTAATCGCCACGAAACATGTAAGTGACTGGAGTCTGTGACTAACCTCTGTTTGAATAGCTGTTGTAATATTTCTTACAGTTTGTTTTCAATATACCGTCCTTCCTGTTCAGAAGACTTGCTTTCGGTTTTTTAGTAGAGATATTTTTCCACACCTCCAAAGTTCAGTCTTTTCTGCTTCTCATGATCCAAATCCTAAACACATTCAGTGATGTTGAGGTCTGCACTCTGAGGTTGGCTAGTCCATTGTTTTGAGAACAGCAGCAGCTTCTTTGTTTGATTAGCAAGTTTTATTCTTTTTCTCAGTAACAGCTACTTGACAGCTATACATCCTTTAAGATTCATAGCACTGAGATGATGTTGAGAGTCTTGGTGGTCTACCAGGTCATGCAGGTCGTTGTTAGGAATTCCATTTTCTCTGGAGCTTTTAATCAACAGTGACTTTGCCAGTTACCGTCACCTTGTCTGAATTGGCCTGGTACCACTGGTAATGAGATTTTGTGCTAAACTGAGCACAAACTAATAATGTCAGGTGTTTTTTTAACAGGAACTATATATTATATATGCAGATAGTCATTTGAGAAGATTCATCAATAAATGGATATACGCACAAGTTTTGACTGTACTCCAGCACATTGGATTTGAAACGGAAAAGTGATTATGAAGTTAAAGTGCAGTTAATCACTTCAGTAGTATCCAATTGCAGTCCTGTAGACCAAATGCTGGGTGGGGCTAAGGTTAGAGTTAAGATAATCTAACACACACACACACACACACACACACACACAATGATTTATGTTATCCGGCTGATTAATTATCTAACTATTTAATTATGTAACTGCAGTATGTCTGAAACAGAGGAGCTAACAGATTTTTATCTAACAATAATGTGAGCTACTTCACCTACACTTTAGCCAGCTGGCTTATTCAGTTAACTCTAGGTAGTTGGCTAATTGCCGCCCAGGCCGGGACCTCTTTTGTCCAAGGTGAGGCTTTCCTCAGCCTTCCTTTGTCTGCATGGCAGCAGCTAGATGGCACTCTTTCTTTCACTTTTAAATACAGAGGGTGTATAGGTTGAACCATATAGGAATCACAAAAAGTACCACAGCAAAACCTGTAGCAAAAGAAACATTTTTAAATGCTATTTTATGAATATACTAATGTATTTTTGGTAATTATAGCTGAAATAAACCTTGGTATAAAAAAAAAATACTCAAAATACTTTGTAAATATTTTGCTGTATTAAGAGTTCGTGGCCAACAGACATAGGTACCCAAGCTGTTTTGAATCTTCTCTTCTTTTGTAACTTCTGGAGGTTAGTCAGGTCACTTTAAAGACTTTTGCGGGACTGTAAACCGTGTCTTTTTGTTTGGATGTTGGTCACTTCAATATAGAGAGCACTGGAGCTTCCCTTGTGTCAACCAGCTATGGTGAACCCAAACTCTGAATCCACTCAAGCGTCATGCAACATCACAAAAGTACAGCTGCATTCAGTGAACTTTGTTACAAACTTCTCAAAAAGTAAATTTGACCCATTTTTGTTCTGTGAAGTGCTGTGATATGCAGTGTTTTGATTTTCTTTCAATTATGTAAGCTTTTTTAAAAAGAGAATTCCATTTACTGAGGCCCAGACCTAGACAAATAAAGTCAGGAAAAAAGGGCTAAGAACAAGATTAAGCACACTTATAAAACTCAGCTCCCTTATAAGTCTTTGTCAGTGAAATGACTTTTAATGTTGACACTTTAAACACTTTAAGACATACTAAATGTATTATTTTGGAACAACTTACATATATTTAAATTATAATTGTATAATTGTAATTAAGCTATGATTAAATACACAGTAGATGCATTTAGTTTTTTAAGCAACTTAAATTGCACTTAAGTGCAAGAAGTATACAGAAGTCTTAACATGAACATCCTCACCTTCTGTTCCTGTGACGAAGGGTTCACAGTCCCCACTGCCACCCCACCTCCTCCCTGTTCCTCAGTCCCTGCATCAGTCCTGCTGCTGCTTAGGGGGGGGATCTGGCCTTATAGCTACAGGCAGAAGCTGTCCAGCCCAAGTTCTCAGAGTTCTCCCCCCTCCCTCAATCAGTCTTCCCTCATACTACCATCACAGTTGAAGGCATGACATTCACAAAATGCTATTTGTGGGAATCTGGGGACATTATTATTATCTTAACCTGTACAAATCGGCTAGTTATTTTTCTACATTGCTAAACCTCTGTTTTCAAAATGAATCCAGCTCTAACAGTATCCATGATGTTGAAAACTGGATTATAATGATTTTTTTTTCTTTTTATGTCCGTCAGGTTGAGGTGTATTCGCCTCGCATCAAGCAGCTGCTCTCCCTCTGCTGCAACTCATTCTCCAGAGAGCAGCTCTGCAACCTTGAATGCCTTATTCTTGTCAGACTCAACTTTCGCTTGGCTGCACCAACCCTCGCTTTTTTCCTTGACTACTTCATCAATTGGGAGTTATCCTGGCACAGAGTTAGTGAAGAGGATGCTAAGATCATCAGAGTGCATGAGGGCAAAAAGTGCAAGGGCTGGAAACCCACTGAGGACCAGCTCTCCACCGTGAAGAAGTATAAAAGCTTTGCCCGCAAGGTCTGTGAGCTGAGCCTGGCAGACTATGCTTTCAACAAGTATCAACCCTCCGTGATTGTGCAGAGTGCAATAAATCTGACAAAGGACCTGTTCAGAAGACAGTTGAAACAATCCTCCCTCGAACACTCTGGCTCCTCAGAGATCTTAGACTTGCTCAGCATTGGAGACCACAGGTCATCAGGCTCGGACACTCATACTTTAATTCAACAGTGCACAGAAGAATTGAAGTTGTTGGTGTCACTCAATCAAGAATCAATTCAGGACTTAATAGCATTGGTGTAAAGGCTGCTTTGTAGTGCTTGTAACATTTGAATGACATTTCTGTTTCATGTTTTGTCAAATATTACCCATGAAACATCAGTTATTGCCACTGAACACTTACAAGCCTTCCCTTGTAGCTCCACCTTGCTGGTGTACAGTTAGAGACTGTATCTGTTGATGCACAGTTTGTGTTAGCCATCCTCTTGCCCTTCATCATTTGTCAGTGTCTGACCACAGAGCCACTCTTGGCTGGACTCAACCTAGCATATGATATGTGTAAAACTCCAGCAGCACCAGCAGCACCAGCATCACACAAAGTACTAGTGTGTTTTTTTTTGTCTAGCTCTGCTGGCATTTTCCTGTCCCGAGCTGTGTCCAGTAGACCTACAGATGAGCTCCTTGGGAATTCACCTGCTGATACAAAGGCCATGGTGAATGATGAGCTAGAAGCTGGGTTGTAGGGGGTTGGCAGGAGGGTGTCATTGATCTTATTCCTCCAACTTTCCTTTACCAGTACCTGAATACCTTGATTCTTTAGTTCTGGAAACTAATGCAAAACTGACTTTCATTGCACTTGTAACATGGTGAATCAGAATACCAAACACTGATTATGGAATGCATTTATGTTAATAATGAAAATAATGTCCAATCAATGTAAAGCATCGCTCACTGTGTCTATTGCAAAAGTATTAAGCCTTATTTTAAGAGAACTAATGGGAAAACAGTTTGTTTTTGCTCATTACAACTCATGCACCTATGCACAATTCACTTACATGTAGCATCAGTTGTAGGCAACAGTAGATGAGTAGGAGTGTGATTCAGTTGTGGTGAAGGAAAACAATCAATACAACATAGTACTGTGATATTTTTGTTGAGCAAAAGAAATAGTATAGATACATGGAAACCCAAGTATCAGTGTATTATTATTTCACTATTAATATTTCTATGTGTATTAAGGCCATTGGTAGACTAATAAAATGTTTTCCACAGGAAGCTCCTGAGAAGTCTTTCTTTCTTGTGAGCCCAAAGCCTCTGTCAGTGGGGGCAATAGGGGAAGTTTTTTTGGGTCAAGTAAAGGCTGTTTTGCTTACTTCACAGTTAAGTTTTTTTTCTCAAGTATTGTGATCATGGCTGTTGGGGGTAACGCATTACAATGATGTGTTTGCATTGCATTTGCACTGGCATTTCCTAAAAAAATGAAACCACTGCTTTGTGAACAATGCAGTACACAGTTAATCTGTCATGTTTTCATACAAAACTGAACATTTAATAAAAACCTTTATAAATACAAGATGTATAATCCAAGCATTATTAGTAGGCCCCAAACCCCAAATGATGAAGTTCTTGAACTAACAGTTTAAAATTGTTCCTTGAAGCATCCAAAGGGTTTACAGGCCATGCTGGATAAAACCGTTCCTCAAGGAACCTTGTAAAGTTCCTGAGAGAATTGCCTTTTTCAAAAGGGTTCCTCACAGTTCCATGGAGGGTTCTGTCAGTGTGGTGAGCTGAGGAACACCAAAGGGTGCTTTGAGTGTCCTATACTTGTTACACTGTATTGATAATAACTGTTGCAATGTTGTTTTCTAGAGGCTATGCAGTGTCACCTTTATGCTGCCTAATACCCCTGCTCGTCCTTGTGTTTGCGTGACAGACAGACAGACAGACAGAAGCGTGTGCAGTAAGAGGGTACTCTGTGAGTGATTGAGAGGATGGAGGGTGTAAGCTAATTGAGCAGCACACTCAGTCTGAAGGGATTAAGTAAAGGTTAATGTTTCTCACTGAGCTTTAACCAGAGCACACAAGAGATCCGACTGCAGAGAAAAACTAAAAATCCCAAACATACACAAGACCAGTTACAATCACGAGTGATTCACCCAACAGTTGAGCAAAGAGAGCAAAGACTGCATATATGTTACACAAACATGATTTGTTAGGGCTCCCGTACTAGCAGGGGGTCCACAATCACATGGTATTTATAAGGGTTTTTGTATATATCATTTGTTTTGTTTTATTTACATATTCAATTATTCTATTTTATTGCCTTTGTCTTTGATTTTTTACTGATCAATGAATGGAGTATTCATTCTTTTTTATCTGGCATACAAATTATTATGGCTATTATGGGTATTATGAGATGTAGGCAGGATGTCACTTAAGGCCCCAAAAAGTTCAGAAATACTGAATAATAATAAGTGTAATAAGTAATAAGTGTGGTCACAATAAGACACTGTTAGATGTCCATCTACAGAATCCCACAAAATATTATGACTTTAGACCAATCAGAACAAGTTCTGTGGTTTTTGTTCTAAATGTAGTTGTTGGACATGAATGGGTTAATAAGAATGAAGCCAGTTTATTTAAATACTCCACTGTAGATGACTTGTAGACACTCACCTTGTCTTTGACTAACAATCAACTACATCCTTTAAATATAACTGAACTTTAATGTAATAAATTCTTTTAAATGTAATCTTAAACCTAAACCTTATTCTAACCTTAACTTAAAACTAAATCCTAAACCTAGTCCTAAACCTGAAGCATCAAAATACATTATTGTGTGACATTATTATTATTATTATCATTATTATTATCATTATTATTATTAGCAACAACATTATTATAAAATTGCTACGGTGATAATAAAAATAACGCCATTTATTTCCAGACTTTTATTTTCTTCTACTTTCCTTCCTCTATTTCTCACTGGTCCTCTTCTCATTGGTCTGAAAGCTAAATGAACTGAGTGAAAGCAGGCAGGCATCCTCGTGAATGTTTATGTTGTTTATGTTTACTCTTGTGTCCAGTTGGATTAGTGGCGGTGATCCACTCCTCCTACGTCAGCCTGGCGGCGGGTTTTACCCTTGTAGATATTCAGCACGACTGGCCATCGCTGCACGGGAAGCAAAAATCAAGCTGATTTCCGCCCCTTTCAACCTGTATTCCGCCTTAACCCCGCCCCCTGTGCTTGGATTGACTGATGACTGCCCGCCTCGTGCGCTCCAAATGGCTGGTATCAGCTTTTATCTCATTCTACATCCGAGCACAAGAGAAGCCACACAAGCAGCCAATCAAAGCGCAAGAGGAGGGGCCCGCCGGAATACTGGTGGAAAACAAAACCCCCACCCGCGGTGTGTCTAATGGCCGTTCGCTGTCCATGGTGTTGAAAATCACGGCTCGCTGCGAACGATGTAACGGCAATGAAACAAAGGAACGGGTTCGGCGACCAACAGCACCACCATGGACGATGATTTGTTCCAGTTAAGACAGCTGCCGTGAGTGTCAAGCTTTTCGTGCTTTTTGTCCGTTTCTGCCAAGCTGGGCCGTTTGACTGAAGCACCCTTCTCGCCCATTGCTGTTCTCTTGTAAATACGCTCACTGCACGGACGCCTTTAGCTTCTCTATCCAAATACACATTTAGAGCTCGTTGGTTTATGTGAAATAACTCGACTCGGTGATCATTCGCTTTCACCGAGAGAGGCGAAGGCGTGCTGTTGCTGTGCTTTGTAAACAGAGCAGCGCTCCATCTCTAGTGTTTGAGATTGTGACCTGCTAAATGGGGTTTCTTCAGACGGTAGCTCATATTGGTGGTCGTTTCGTTGACGGCTTGGCAGCGGTGTAGCTTACTGAGCTCATAGCCGTTAGCTGGAGGTATTGCACCAACGCCTGCACTAATATGGACTGTTCAAACTGTCCACGGACTGCAGAAATCACATGGTGGAATAGGATTTCTATGAAACACTTAAAGGGCAAGCCCACCATTTTGTCAAAATCTCTGTGCAATTTTCTGTTTAACTTCTGTAAAATGTGTACAAAGCCTTTCAGACTGGTCTGATGTGAAATGGTTAATTGTAGAGAAACTTACTGACTCTGATTTCTTCACAGTGGTGGTGATAGGAACAAGGGGTCACAATGTCTTGAACACAAATATAGCAGTTTTATTTACTGTCCAAAACCACCAGTGAACCTACACGTGTTTGAGTTTGTATATGTAATGATGAGAATGGTTAAATTAAAAATGTGTCCTTTGGAGACTGTTTTGTCTTACATGTACCCCTCCACCACATGTGACTTTTACATATATGTTTTAGGCCAGATGATCTCAAAACTATCGTAAAACCGTGTCTCGTGCATCAGGCAGTGTATTTGTAACCATCTCATCTAATAACTTTATGTGATGGAGCTTTTAAGGGAATTAAACTCTTCAGATGTCTAGTTCAGATATCACCACCGTTATGAATTCTAACTAGAAGGGAGCATTACACATCAGACCACTCTGAATGACTTCTTCACATCTTAACAATTGAATTGTGCAGCCATTTTGAAAAGTCAGTCCCTTTCAAATACAATAAGAATACTTTTAAAACACTCCATTTGTAGCTCCCCCAGAACCAATATCCTCATCTAATCATTCAAAGGCCTACAGTCTTTTATACAATATAATTTATACATTTCCACCAGAGAATTTAAACATAGTGAAGTACAGACCTTATATGAGCTGTTTAAAAGTGCTCCCAGTAAGGTTGGCATTTGCATGCACTTGCCCTGGTGGTGCTGTGTTATTCCTGAGATCCTGATCCACCCTGAAACCATGCTGCTTCCCATCATTAATTTAAACATTAACGGTTCATTGGTGTTGTTATGTAATGGCCTGTTGTCTGCCTGATTCGCCTGTCAGGACGATGTAGTTATATAGACTTTACAAGCTATTTGAATCTAGGAGTATGTCAACCCATGGTCCTATTATGCTATTAAGGTATGTTTCAAAATAAATGAGGCTTTGGGTTTAGTTATCCCTTACTGATCTATAAGAAAAGAAATAGGAGTCCTCATCTTGGCCGTACATTAAATGCACAAACAACTGAGTTTGCAGTTCATTTGAAAATCAGCAATTATTCAAGCCTGTCTGAGACAGTAGCCAAGCCTGCATGTTTTGACCACTGCACTCAGTTTGGTAACAAGAGTTTGAATCTTAGATCAAGAGTTAGAAGAGAGAAACTTTATTGTGTCTTAAATCCAAACATCAGCATTGGTCTCACAAGCCAGATTTTTAGCTGATAGGTAGGCATTGTCGCTCAGTGTTGCTAAGAAGTGCCTACTTTGCTTTGTGCAAAATAGATCAACAACCATAGACTGTTGTTTTTGCGTGACATATAGGGGCAGGTGACTGTCAAAAAATGTTTTTTTTTGTAGTGAGTGATTTCATTGGTTCAATCTATACATATATATTTTGATGTCCACAAAGGTATTGTTATGTTAGCAGTCTCTTTTAATATATTGGAGCTTAAAATACATACTTTCAGCTTTAATCTGAGGGTGCTTATTATCTAAATCACATAAACGGTGTAGGATTTTTCATTCATAGCTCTTCATTAATAAATACAAATGAAACAGTTCCACAGAAAGCCATACATCCCATGCCATAACACTACATCCACCATGCTTGACATGTGAGGTGGTATAATTTAGACCATGAGATGGTCCTTCCCTTCTCCTTGCTGTTTTTTGCCCATCATTGTGTTACAAGTTGAACTTTGTCTCATCTGTCCATAAGATGATGTTCCAGAATTAGAGGTTTTTGGCAAACAAATCTGGTCTTCCTGTTTTTGTGACTTACCACTGGTTTACATCTTGTGGTAAACCTTCTGCATTTACTCTGGTAAAGTCTTCTTGATTGTTGACTTTGATACAGATTCACCTACCTCCTGGAGGGTATTCCCGATCTGGCCAACTGTTGTCATAGGATTTTTCTTCACCAGGGAAAGAATTCTTCTGTCATCCACCTCAGTTGTTTTCAGTGGTCCTCCAGGCCTTTTGGTGCTTCTGAGCTCATCAGTGCATTCTTTCGTTTGAAGAATGAACCAAAAAGTTGATTTGTTTTGATCTCCCTGATGGGTTTGTTTTGATTTTTCAGCTTAATGATGACTCATTTTACTGGCAGTGACAGTGCTTTGGACTTTATTCTGAGTAGTAACCCACAACATATAGCATATACAAATACCACAATTTAAATAATCTGCTTTCTTTTAAGTGAAATACTGAGGAATAAACACACACATGGCCATAGAACAGCTATATAGCCAATTATCCAATTACTTCTTAGCCCTAAAAATGGTTGTAATTTCTGTACTATTTACCCAATTTGTAATTCAAATTAAAGTCTGCGCTTTGAGCTCATTTTCAGTACTTAATTTAACTCCAAAATACTAATAACACCCAACTATTTATGGTCCTGACTATATACATAGTTGCTGATTGCCACCCAGATGCAAACAAGTGGTAGTCACAATTTGCTAATGGGACAATTTTAAAACATTATGAATTTGCAAGGCCTGAATGCACCATTAGTGTGCACTATAGACCAGACATCCGTGGGCAGTGTTCATCTCCATGTACGTCTGTGGCTGCAATTGCATCAGGACTGATGCAATGAAAGCTTCCTTTATGACATAATGAAGAATGCAAATCTCACTGATGTTGATGCCTTTCTGCTACTGCTCTAATGCAGTGGTGCTGGCTCAGGGCCCAGCTGCTGTCCAACTGAGCAGGGGTCAATGGCACTCAGTGGCAGTGCCAGAGACATCTTGAGATCAGATACTTGGAAATCTGACTGTGGTTACTGGACTCATATTTGGGCAGTACTTAAGGTGTGATTCTGGCTATTGCAGGACCTGTGTTTGTACTGTTTCTAATCCTTTGCTACATCCAGGTTGTCCCTTAGGGCTGCTTTTCCCTGATCTAACATCTGTGTCAGCTCATGAAGAGCTTGATAATTTTCTGGCAGGTTATATCAGGTTTGTTAAAACAGAATAAACATCATGCACAGGAGGTTCCAGGAGTAGAGCTGGAAACCCATAAACTAGGGGTTGGCAACCCAAATGTTAAGAAGAACCATTTTGTCCTTTCAACAAAAATCAAACCACCTTGGAAGCCACAACATTTTATGTCCATTTTACCATCTTGGCTGTTCTGCTAATTCTGCTGTGGAACCGCAACAGGGCAGTAAAGGAGCTGCATGTTGCCGACACCTGCCCTAAAGAAAAGTAGAGGTAGAACTAGCTGCCAAGTAAAAATGCTCTGAAAAAAGGAAAAAAAAGTTATTTTTTTCTGCTGGGTTTATTTTTTATTTATAATTTTTCATTAATTAATTTTCGGAGCAATTTCTGCTCTGTACTATTATTCTACTTAGGCTTATGCTGGTAACAGAATCCCCTTGTGTTGAAGACAACCAAAGTTAATGGTTAAACCAGGTTAAGGGAGGAGGGGTCTAAAAATAGTAATAATAAAAAAACTCTTTTTCTTCCAGTAAATTTGAGATTCCTAACACTAAGGCAGATGTAGGGGGAAATAAACTGATAGCATGGGAGAAGAACACAATAAATGCACAGTTCAGTAAAAGTTGTGGTTGTAGTCTTTTCTTGTCTTTAATCTTTAATAAAACTCTAGTTAATATGTTAAGAAAGATTGGAATTACAAATGTCACACAGACTGTAACATCTGAGGCCATTTTCTCTGAAGTTGTGATATCTGATGCCTCTTTATGCGGGGCCATTCTACCTGAGGCAGCTTCAACTAATGTCCATTTGCACAAGAGCTGAGACATGATGGTGTTTTTCCTAAGACCTGAAGCTGTTTTTTCAAATATATGACCTGACACTGAGGTTTCACCACACAGTGTGCCTCCCCAAGTGTGTTCAACAGCTGCGTTTCTACAACAACCTCAGCTATGTTAAGGAAAGTAAATGTGGTGTTAATGTAGGATGTCACATCAGTCCACATACTTAAAAGTACAACTGTGTTTATGCGTGACAATGCTAGTCACGCATAAACATATGTAACATATGTAACAATGTTTTGCATGAAATTAATAAATGAGGATTTCTAAAGCTGCACTATGTAAGTTTTGGGGATTTGGAGACCTCTCTGGTGGAAATGTGTAATTGCTTGAAATGTGCGGAAATATGTTTTGTAACATGCGTTGTGCTTCGGACCCCTTCCTTGAGTGGATAAATCTGAGGACTGTGAGTGCGAATTCAACAAGAAACCAGTCAAAACTTGTGAATTGTCTAATAATGTCATCATATTTTTGTCAGTTTAATGTTGATTTTGAGATCTAAAGATTGGCTGGACCTTCTTTTTGAGCCTGCGTCTGTGACGTTAATATGTAAAGTTAATATGTAATTTCAGCTTCAAATATCCATGTTTAATGTAGAATGGCCAAAAATGTGCATATGAATCGCTGTTAGCTTAGTGCTGCCATACTGTTAGAATCCCA